TGCAGTCCGACGGAAGCGGCTCTTCGTCCTTTGTCGACTGTTTCGCCAGCTAATAGCCAGGGACGATTTTCAATAAGGATTTCTGAGTGAAATCCTTACCCCCCTATTTTATTTGCTCATTGGAAAGAGCGTAAAAAGTTATCCCAGATTCCCCCGGAAAATGATGAAATTTTCGAAAAAATGATGTGAGGGCACGTGACTGAAGTCCCAAAAAACTCAAACTTTCCCGCTCGAGCATTTTCGACTCGTCTGAGCTAATATGGCTTGTAATAGCTCAAGATGATCGTCTCTGCGAGCTCTTGCTGGGCATCATGTTTTCATCCCTTTTCAACCCTTTTTTTTGAATTTCTATTTTTCGAGCAATAGATAAAGGGATGAAAAAGGGTTGAAGAGGGAAGAAAACTTGATGCCCACCAAGAGCTCGCAGAGACGATCATTTTGAGCTATTACAAACCTTATTAGCTCAGACGAGTCGAAAATGCCCGGGCGGGAAAGTTTTGGTACTTTTGGGACTTCAGTCACGTGCCATGACGCTATTTCTTCGGAAATTTCATCCTTTTCCGGGGAAATCTGGGATAACTTTTTACGCTCTTTTCAATGAGCTAATAAAAAAGGGGGGTCAGGATTTCACTCAGAAATCCTTATTGAAAATCGTCAGGATGCGGCGGGGGCGATTCACGGTTATGATGAGGCACTAAATTAGAATTGGTATTGGAAGCATTATAAACGAAACTGTTATTATTCTATCATATGTTTTTTTTTAAATATATAATATATAGTGTAATTCTTAAAGTTTTATTATGGTTTCTGTTTTTTGATTTTTAAACTCGTAATAATTTTTCGCGGCTTGTTATTTGGAATTACCATAGAGTTGAGCTCTAAGTGGAGAAAGCCCCCGGGTTCCCTTTCCCGTTTCCCGCGCAGATCACTCGTAGGGAAGTCTAGAAATTTTCCTTTGCGCTTCAGAAGGATCTCGAAATGCATTTCTGCGGAAATGAAAGGATTCAGCCAATCACTGAATCGAGAAGACGAACTCCAGTTTTGGCGCTGAATTAGGCGCGCTTCAGATCGAGCGTTACGGCGCCTAAGACGCTCAGATTCTCCTATCTCCACTTAGAGTTCAACCTTAGGTAAGTTACGTCTAATTTAATCCATTTATACTTTTTGTAAACGGCCTCAGTGGATTACCAGCTCGCAGATTTGCGTACAAATCAGATCCAACAGCATGGACCAAGGCAAAAAGAGGTAGTCCAAAATGGTAGCTCCCGCTCTTTCTTTACCTGTTCTAGGGTGCTGAAGCTCGCCGGAGGTTTGATCGCAAAGGAGAAGTTCAAAGTCAAGCGTGAAAAAATCCTCATGAAGGGTTTTGGCCGCTCCCGATCAAGAAAAACGTTCGTCGAGGAAATTCTAGCGACGAGAAGCGCCGCCCAGTGCCGCGTGTCGGTCAACGAGATTTCCGGCAAACAGATCCAACTAGATCTAAATCGATAGAAAGTCTGATATGCGTTATTGGCCATTTTACTTTGTTATTTGCGGGATATGGATGTTCTATGAGACTTGGACTATGTCCATTCCGACTGCCTTTGCGAGTCTCCATCTCTGGATCAGACGGGGGCGATATGCAGTTAAGAAGAGGCATTCAGTTAGAATTGGTATTGGAAACAGTATAAACAAAATTGTTATTATTCCTTCATAAGTATTTTTTTAAGATTATATATATTGTTTTATTTCTAAGGTTTTGTTATGGTTTTTGCTTTGTATATTCGTTTGTTTATTTGGCTTCTTTATTGTTATATTGTGCGGTTTACTTGATTAAAGAAGCTATCCCGGCATTTTAAATTTTAGGATGGGTTTAGGGAAACCCAACACCTGTCATGATGCAATTGATGGACGCGGAAATTAATTGACCTGTTGGCGCACTTTTCTTAGTAGCACACTGATCAACGAATTTGAAGAGACTCGACCGCGTCAATGGAACAGAGGTGAGTGTATTAATGCCGCTTTAATATGGATGTAAGACATCTGGTTTGAAAAAGCTTCAAAACTTGAAATCAACAATGACTCATTTGATGAACTGCGTCATAATCGACATAAATTATTAAAGCCATAAGAATAAATAAATCTGTCTCTATATGATTTAAATTAAACAAAAATTAATCGATACAAAAAAATTATCCTCTTCTAAGGTGTTTGACATCTTGTTATCTCACAGGTTATTGACTTGGTTATTGGGACTTTTTTTGTGTTTATGTGTGTTAAATTACTCGTCATAATGCTCCAGTCGTGGGTTTTTGGGATTAACCGAATTTATTTTTATTTTCTCATTTTTATTTATTTCTGTATATATATATATTCTCATTTGATACTATTCTTTTATGGTTTTTTTTTCGGTCTTTTCTTTGTGTTGTTTCATTTTCTGTGCGCTCTTGTGCTTGTTTGGGCTTGGTTGTGCTGTTCTGGCTATGTATGCGGTGTTTGATGAAAGAAGCTATCCCGGTATCTTTAATTCTTCGATGGGTAAAGGGAAACTCAACACCTGTCATGATGCCATTGATGGACGCGGAAATTTATTGTCTCATATTGTTGACCAGCTGGTTCAAATTATTTTCAAATTGGGTGCTGGTTCAAATATCTACCATTGGTAGACCTTTTCGCGCACTTTTCTTAATGCCGCTTTAATTAAATTATAATAATAATTTAAATAATAAAAACCATAAGATTTAATAAACCTGTCTCTTTATAATATTTATTAAACAAAAATTAATCGATACAAAAAAAATATCGTAGATTTTCGTAGAAGAGGCAAGACTCTTTAGATGATTTGACTCTGGAGCAGAAATAGGTATAAATTCTTTCGTTCTTCTGCAAATTTAGCTTTGATTTTATTTACAGAGCCTCTGTTTCGCGTTTTTATAGATTATTTATTTTTTAAAGGTTGCCGATTTTTGCTTTATTATAATAATGGCATAGATAAAATTGCATTTATTGGCCGCGTTGTCTCTAAAACCATAACAGTTCCTTCTGAGGCATTGTTTTGGCGATGGATTTTGAGCCGTTGAAACAGGCGTTGAAACAGGCTACGAATCTGACCTTTGTGTTATTACGCGGCTTCAGTAAAGATTTCAGACGCAGACTTCAATTTCAGTTAGAGCTGGAGTATCGAAGAAGGTTCAGACAAAGACATCTGAATCTAAGGTTTGGGTTAAAACTTTTTTGTTAAGTGTTGTGTTTGTTTGTGTTTATTACCGCGTCATATCTTTTCGTTCAGGACTATCCGAATTTCCAACAATTACGTTTTTTCGCGTTTATCTCTGACTGGCTAATGCGTTCTTTACAAGGTTTTAATTAAACGTCATAATAATTTATATTTTAGTATGACCTTTGATTTTTTTATTTAATTTTTTTTGGCCATATATGTTTACAAATTCTTATATATATTCTGGATATTTGAGCGAAAGATAATCATAAAATAAATTTAATTGTTTGCCGCGGAACTGTGTAGCTATCAAAGGCTTGCAGAACCTCACAAGGCTCGGACGAAATAAAGCATGGATGACTGTTAACTCATAGAAGACATTGACTCTTCGGTAGAAAATCAATAAGGACTGAACTTATGGAAAAACCATAATGGTAAATAAACTTGCCTCTTTATGAATTTAATTAAACAAAAACTAATCGGTAGATAAAAATGATCTTCTTCTGATGTAGCTAACACTTCCTGAACGTAATAAATTTCCGCGTCGTCTAAACCTTTATGAATTATCCGCGTTGAATACGGCATTCACGCCATCCACATAATAACCTTTTCATGGAGCTACCGGAAAAGAAATTTTACTATTTCGACCGTTAATAAGACTCGCTGGTGCTTCGAAGAAGGTGCAGACGAAGGCATCGCAGAGCCTCAAAAGGCTTGCAAAAACAACAAAGCTCGTGTTAATTACAAAAGGCAGTGAAGATGAGCTGATCCTCTCTCTGCTGCTGTGTCGGGTTTTTTAAGATTACTGAATATTTTTTGTAAATAATTGTAACACCATAACTTTTATTTTTTTTGTATTTTATTGTTTGTTTTTTATTATTATTTTTTCGATTTACCTTATCTACAAATAGACCTGTAATCACATGATCTGGGAGAATGATAAAATAGGTGGTTGTTTTAGCCGCGTTATTTGTACGAAAAGCTCACCGGGCAATCAGAAATCGAAGATGAAATTGTTGTTTCTGAAATGCTGACGGATGCGGAAATGAATATTTTTAATCGACTCCTGGACAGTAAGTTACAGCGGGCACTTTTGCCATTGGCTTTATGATAACGAGGAGGAAACGAGGAGGATGAATTTATCGCCCCGGAAAACGTTCTCTGAAACTTTGTTGGTCGCGTTCATGTGAATTAATAAATTGAATGATCGCATGATGACTAGAACTTGACATTTATTTTTTATAATTCAGCGGTTGCAGTTGTTCATAATTGTTGGTCCGTATTCAATTGCAAATTTTCGTTTTGATTTCTTGTTTGAAAATATTTGTAATGTTTGATTTGTGCCGGTTTCTGGTTTTGGTGATTCGATGGTATTTTCATCCGCCTCTTGTTCGAGTTCTAATCGTCGATTCTTTTGCCTTGTCGTTTCTTTTACTTTCACAACGCGGCATTCTTTACGTGTTTTTCGTTCTTGTCGCAATGGCAATGGAGGTGTTATCTTTCCGCGTATTTGTAAGGCTTCCATTTTGTTAAAAAATTGCCTTATTTTGCCTGGCGCATTAACACTTTTCTATAATTGTTTTTGTATCAAATTTTATTTGCTTTCCTACCTCCACCGAGTGACTGCACTTTATCCATTCCGGCATATATTTGAAAATTCGGTCTCCATCATATTTTGTAAATCGCGCATCGAGATATATTATGGCGCCGAAATCGTTTTTGTGTCGGATAATTCGTCCAACGGCTTGGTTTACCGCTCTGTTTGCCTCTAAGTTTGTCATGGTAATATCTATCACTCTATGCGTTATAATTTCAATGACTTTCCTTGTTTATACCACTCTCTTCCCGATAACTCACCACTCTTTGTTTTTATTCTTTTGTCCAGATAATCCATTTTCTCCTTGATTCGTGGCTCTTCTACTGGTGGATACGGTATTCCTTCATGTGATTTTATATATTATTGTTAGATTTTCGTTACCTGTTACAATAACGACTCGTGCTCTACTGTCCTTAAAGTCTATCCCCTCAGAAAGCTTTCCTCTGCAAACACCGTTCAGTATTGCGCCCTGTTTTTCATCGTGTTCCAATTCGCGCTCATAATTTTCAATTACTCTTATCGTTTCTTCTTTGTTTTCTGGCTCGACAAAAACCGGGACTTTGAACATGTTTTTGAATGTCGCGCTGTAATCGTTTATTCCCCAAATATTCAGTGATTTCCGCATGAGTTTATACGTTGGATGAAAAATCAGGCATCCTCCAGGCGCAACTTCTTTAATTTTACCTAAATAAGTTAAGAAGACATCTATATGATTTCTCTTACTGATGATTTTCGCATATTTCAAAAACATATCGTCGTTGTTTCTGTTTTTGTATATATTTCTGAATTCTGTCTTCTCGTATCCTGTTATTGTGACAGCTAAAAGTTGTTCGCTTTTGATGATGTGTTGATTCTGGAACTGAATTGTTTTTTTGCCGGATTCGTCGAGGCCCAAAACGTCTACATAAGTTTGCATTGGTGCGAGTGTACCCGACGTGAGGATAAGATTATATATTGCTCCTTCCTAGATTTTTTTTCTTGATTATAAACTTATTCAGGGTTTCTTACCTCTGATAAATCTTTTATTGCGTATTTCGCGTTGAAGCACCAGATATTGAGATTGTAACCGAATCTATCGTTATTATCTTTGCATAGTCTCGCTCTGTAACTTAAATCATCAATAAGCATAATTATTATCATAACGTCTTACTCATGATGTCTTTTCTCGTTGCGGATCGAAATCAATTCTTCCATCATATAGGCGAATAATTCGAAATTTTTTCCTTGATTATGCGTAAGCTTGTATTTTAAGACTGATTTTATTACCCGAAAGATGTGTTTTTCTTTGTGACGATGCAAAATACGCACTGACATTTTTCGTTAAGTTTTTCCATATCTCATTTGTGTTTCTCATAAGTCCGTTTCTTTCCGCGTCATTGATAAGTTCTGATATATCGAAATTCTTTCCCTCTTGTTTTCCGTACTCGTTGTATTTTTGCGCGTACACCAACTCCAATTTTTTCATTCCTAAATTTGTTATTTGCGGCTAATGATTGATGAATTACCATTTATTATTGTTTCTATTTTTCGTGGAGTTGTGATTATGTCGATAGATTCTTTTTCCTTGTCGAATTTTATTTTCGCTTCACCGAGTTCATCTCTAGCCATTGAAATAATTCTTCTCGTGAGGTTATGCGATGAGCTCTCTTCACAGACCGCTTCCACGTTATGAGCTTCGTCGATGATGATTATTTTCTGCGCCGTTTCAATTTTGCTATTCGTTCTTATCTTCTTCTCAAGAATGTAGTTGTATGGCATCAGAAGAACGTCTGCACTGCGAGCTTTTCCTCGAGAAAGGTAATACCCGCATACTTTTTTCCCTTCTGCTGAATTCGCTTTGTCGGTTTCCATTGTGAATTTTTGATCATTCTTTTTAAAATTGTCGACCGGTTCCTATATATTCTTTTGCGATATCTGGTGGGTTTTTACACCATTCACCTAACTCTTCGATGTCCATTATTTCATTCATTGATGAAATCAGTAATTCTGCGTTAGTTGTAGTACAACTCTCCTCTTCTGTTGTGTCTTTTCCAATTGTTACAAGTTTATCCGCTTCTTTTTTTTGTATGGGCAAAGATTGTTTCTACGCAGTTTTCTGCAGCTAATCTGCTGATCCGTAGTGTCTGCAATATTTTGCACATCATTTTTTACGCATAAATTTTTTCGTCCTCCGATGACAGTCATCGTAAATTGATACTTGCATATATCCCGGAGCTTTTTTAGTTCTTCGACGACTTGCGTTAGTTGTGAATGAGTTCTGTTTTTGGGGTGTTTTTATTTATTATATATTTTCGAAAATTTTTTATACCCTTTCTTGAAGCATATATTATATTCGGTAAATCATCCTCGTCGAAGTCATCTTGGTTTTTTGCCCATTCTTTAAACGCAAGTACCGAGGCAAGTAGCGTGATTGTCTTTCCTGTTCCAGTCGGCGACTCTAGGACCGCGTGGCATCTTGAACTGGTTAATTTAATACGTAAGTTTTCTAACCTCTTTTTCAGTGAGTCGATACATCTTTTCATCATTTCTCTTTGTTCTGGATATGCCTCATATGGAAACTTGATATCCACGCCAGATATATTAATTGATTTAAATGTATTCATTTTGACTTTGGATGAAAATTTTTCTTAATTATCGTCGGCAAAACCTACGCATTTAACCTACGAGGTTCTTTTTCATTTATTTACTGGCGTTAGGTAAGAAATTTCTTGGCGCGTTTGGGTCGAATATTGGTGGTGCTTTGCAGATAAGAAAACTCCACCGCTACTCCGCCACTAGAAATGAATTTGATTTTTTTGTCTACAGGTTTAAATCATTAATCCTATAATTGAAATTTTAATTGCTCAAATTGACCATATTTTTTAGTGAAACATCGAGCCCGTCCTAAGTCGCGGAATTATATCTGTTCACTTGTATGCGCCTTTGGAAAGATGTTTCGCCAAGAAAACTGCACAATGAGAATGTGGATGAAAGAGCAGTCTGAATGTGGTTTTCTACAGAGACTTTTTCTGAAATTTCTTCGCTACTCCAGCTCCGTCTGTACCTCTTCATGATTAAAACTTATACAAATAAAAACCGCACAATATAACGATAATAAAGCATAATAAACACGCGGAAATACGAAGATATAGAAACCATAAAAAAACCTTAGAAATTACACTATATTTTTAAGGGTGTTAGTGTAATAATTAAGGGTATCTGACTGGGGCGAAAGAAAGTCCGGGCCCTGAGCCGGGTTTTTAGAGGGTCGGGAGGCCTTTCACAGTCTAAAAAATGGGGTTGAAATAGCACTTTCGCGGCAAAAATAAGTGATGTGATATTGATCATCAGGTATCGCAGGAACATGATAAGTTTGCTTGGCTTTTGAATACTGGTGTATCAAGACTTTTGAATCAAAAGTAGGCTTTATGAACTAAGCTATCGATATTGGATTCGAGTTTCTTATGGATTAGATTTAGGGATCAAATAAGTTTCGTAAAAATATACATAACAAGAACAATTAGAATAGAGTTACGGTTTTCTGGATACGAATCACTCTTAGTCAGTTTTACAATTTGATAGATCAGTTTCTGTTTATATACAGTAAAAGCCGTTGGTTCGGGACACCTATAAATCTTTCCGGTTTGGGACAGTCGGGCCAATTAACAATCAAAGGCGCGCGTCAACTGCGGGTGTTTTTAAACTTACCGAAAGCAAAAGTGACGCATAAGTTCTACTGTAATTAATATCGATTTCGTTTTCTTCCTTGATTTCGCTTCATGAGAATTCTTGAATCAGGTTCAATCGTTAGAAATCGCCGGGGCGGGATTAGGTTGCTTCTGTGACTCGGTGAGATTAAAGATGTGTACAGAATAGAAAAGGCTCTTTGTGTCTGCTTTGAAAAAAATGGTTGTTAATGCCGGTAGCCGCAACGCGAACTAAAAATAACGCAAAATCAACTGGGCATAAGTAGGCCGGGAGGCCTCTAACTCCTTTCAAATGTTACTTTTGAGTGGCATTGATTGCGATTGATTTGTCTTCAAACTTCGTCCATACACCGCGCTTGAATATTTTAATCCTTACATTTTCAAGCATCGTGAGCATTCATTTTTAAGCATATTAGCATCTACTTAATAAGCCGACGAAGATAACGCAGTTTGATTGTTGAAAAAGTTGTTTTTACCGCGTGATTTAATGCATAAAAAAATATTATTAAAATAAGAACCCATAATAATTATTTTTATTTCATTTTTATTTAGTTTGTCATTATAGTTTCGTCGACGTCCTTTGAGAAGTTTTAACAAACTCGATTCTTTTCCTAAGATCTAGTGATAATTTAATTTATACAACTTCTATTTATCTCGTGCTGAGCCGCCGCTACCTAACGTTTGCAGGCCGCCTATTTGATTCCGAGGTCATCATGTTTGTCGGATGCGATTGTTGCTGATGGAATGTCTTTCATGGCTGTTATGGTCAGTATACGCGCGAGACATTTGGAGGGGCTTTCATTCTCTCATAGAAGTTCATAGTTGAATGTTGATGGTTTGCAAGAGTTTGAGTAAGAGGTCACCATGACTGAGTTCTGAGCATTTGCTTACATTCCATTGCATGCAAATAAGCTTTTCTGTAAGTTATTGTGAACGCTGACTGTTTGAGAAAGAATTTGATGGAGTCCGTGATTTAAAAACAAATGATTGTTTTTACATCGTTTTATAATATGATCATTTTCTTTATTACAGAAATTGTTTAAGGGCAGAGGTAATCTTAAATATGTTAAATGCTGGGCATTTTTTTCCTTATTTTTTCTGCTTTCGTCCTTCCGCATAACTTTCAACTTCTTTTATGAACGCAGGGCTCTCACTGATTTGCGGGGGTTTTTGCTTGGGATTGACTTGTTTCCGTTTTTTCGCTCTTGAATTCGGTGACAAGTTAAATTTAGTTGCTTTTTTAGATTTGAAAATGTTTCGATAATAAGTTTTGAGGATATTCCAAATCATTCATGAAAATCTGGGGTCAGGCGATCTATTGCGTTCAGGTGACTTCACGCGTGTTATTTTGCTCTTTGGGCCGGGTTTGCTTGTTCTTCCATCGTCCATTCTGTCTGCATTCCTTTTTAAAGTTGGAGCTGGCTGTTTTTTCTTTTCTTTCTTTTGAGGACGTGAATTATCTCTAATTACATCATCGTTCTGACCGTCTGAGGTCTTTGTTTTTTTCTCTCCATTTCGCTTCTGCTCCTTCGGGTCGTTACCCCTTTCTCTCTTTCTGTTGGCTTTCTCTTCCTTCTCTGGTTTTGATTCTTCCTTTTTGTTATTGCAATCTTTCATGGCTGCCTTCGTAGTTGCTTTTTGTTTTTTTGCCTTCGCTCTATCTTTTCTTTATCCGCCTTTGTTCTCGCTCTATCATTTTCTCTGTCTTTCTTTCTTCTGTTGGCATCGGAAAGCTTGATATGTTTGACATTTCGGTCATTGTATGATGACCCAGTAACCGTTTTCTTCCATACTTCTCTGCTTCTTTTCGCAATTTCATAAGAATCGTCTTCGTCTGTCGATGAATCAGATTTAGGCGTCGATATTGGTTGAGTGACTGTCTGCTTGCTCGTTTCGTTCGCTGTTTTGTTCCTTAATAACAATTTTATAAATATTTGACGCGGTATTCAATTACCCTGCTTGAAGAGAATCGTTCGTATATCCCACGTCCTGTTCAATTGTGTTCTCCGCTTCTTCCGGGCGTTCTGGGTGATTTGTTGGTTCATCACGATGACTAAATATAAAAATTACTTCCGTTTCGATTCCATCTAATTCCTGCTCATATTATTTTTGGTGCAGAAATATCCTCGCACAAGTTTTTAATTACCTTGTTGATTTTTTGTCCGCGTCAGTTTCCGCGCCAAAATCTCCGTCGTTCTTTGTCTTCTTCGCGACTTCATCATCAAAAGACTTCGATTTGTTGATTGCAGGTGCAAGTCTTGTTTGGACGACTGTACTCTGTTCATCCTTTTTGCTGGCTCCAGAATTTTGCGCACCGTTTCCCGTTGTTGCGGTCCTAAAAATAATTTGATAAATGATGACGCGGTATTTAATTACTTTTCTTGAAGAGCATTGTTCGTTTTCTCCGTGCCTTCTTCGATTCTCTTCGCATCTTCCGGGCGTTCTGGGTGATTTGTTGGTTCATCCCGATGACTTAATATAAAAATTACTTCCGTTTCGATTCCATTTGATTCCTGCTCATATTATTTATTGATGCAGAAATATCGTCGCACAACTTTTTAATTACCTTGTTGTTGTTTTTTGGCCCGCGTCAGTTTCTGCGCCAAAATCTGCGCCGTTCTTGGTCTTGTTTGCGACTTCATCATCAGAAGACTTCGACTTGCTGTTTGCAGGTGCAATGCTTGTTTGGACGACTGTACTCAGTTCATCCTTTTTGCTGGCTCCAGAATTTTGCGCACCGTTCCTCGTTGTTGCGGTCCTGAAAAATAATTATAATAATAATTGACGCGGTATTTAATTACTTTTCTTGGAGGGCATTGTTCGTATTTTCCGTGCCTTCTTCGATTCTCTTCGCATCTTCCGGGCGTTCTGGGTGATTTGTTGGTTCAACACGATGACTAAATATAAAAATTACTTCCGTTTCGTTTACATGTGATTCCTGCTCATATTATTTTTGGTTGCAGAAATATCGTCGCACTACTTTTCAATTACCTTGTTGATTTTTGGTCCGCGACAGTTTCTGCGCCAAAATCTCCGTCGTTTTTGGTCTTGTTTTCGACTTCATCTGTAGAAGACTTCGACTTGCTGATTGCAGGTGCAATAGTTGTTTGGACGACTGCACCCTGTTCATCCTTATTGCTGGTGCCAGAAATTTGCGCATCATTTGCCGTGGTTATGTTCCTGAATAATAATTTGTACATGTTTGACGCGGTAAATAATTACTTTTCTTGAAGAGCATTGTTCGTTTTCTCCGTGCCTTCTTCAATTATGTTATCCGCATCTTTCTGAAGCTTTGGGAGATTTGTTGATTCAACATTTTGACTAAATATAAGTTTATTTTTTATTCATAATATGTGATTCCTGCTCATATTCGTATTTGGTGCAGAAATATTTGCACAGTACCTTGTTGATTTTTGATCCCCGTCATATTCTGCACAGAAAGATTCGTTGTTATTGGTCTTGTTTGCGACTGCAACTTCAGAGTACTTCGAATTGCTTCTTTGGACGGCTGCACTCTGTTCATCCTTTTTCGTGGTGCCAGAACGTTGGGCATCAATTGTCGTTGTATCTGTATGCGGCTGAACGTTTGAATTTTTCTCCGGGCGCTCGTCAACTGGTCCATCCTGTGGATGATTTTCTACCGTCTCATCTGGAATATATTTTAAAGCTTTTTCACTAGGAATAAGTGTACCTTCTTCTGGGTGTCCTTTCGTTTCATCAATGTTTTCATCCTCCTTTTCAGTTCTTCTTTCCTCATCTGCCGTTTCATCTGTAGTAGTCGTAGTGTTTTTACTTTTCTCCGTATTGACGTTGACCAGTTCATTCTGTTGTTGAGTTGTGGGATATGAATTTGGTTCATGTCTGCCGGCAGTTTCATCTTGAAAATTTATTAAAACGAATTTCAATGGCAATAAGTGTACCGTCTTTTTGCAGTGTAGTTTTTTGGCTGTCGTCGGAGTCAAAAAGATTAACCGCTTTTTTTGCATATGGTCGGCTACTAGTAGGTTCTGCGCCTGGTAATGTGCCACTGAGAAGCTTTGCGCGTAGTTTAGGGTCCACTTCCTTCCATAATTGTGGAGTTGACGTATTTGATTGACTTGGCGAGTCCTGTTCTTCATGCTCGTTGGCCGATTCTAACAATTTTAATAGAATGTTTATTAGATATTTTTACCATCATGATTTGAGTTATGAATCGAATTGAGGTTTGGTGGTTCGTTATCCAAAAGCCAGAGTCTTGTTCTCTCCATGCTTGCTTTATTTGTTTCCATATCAGTCAACATCGGCATAGAATTCTCGTCTGAATTATCTTCCGCGTCACTCTCCTCTTCTGAACTTTCCGAATCGATTTCCGAGTCCTTATCCTTTTCTTGCGTTTGCCTAAATGATATTTTTTTTTAAGTCTTCGTTCGAAGGTGATATCAATTATATTGAGTTACGTACGATTTTTCAGAAGCCGACGAAATTTTGGACTTCTCCAGCATTTTCTTTAATTTTTCCTTGTGCCGTCTTTTCACTCTTCTTAGAAGTGCTGATTGATCCGAGCGGGCCGCGAAATTGATGTCACTTAATTCTTCTTCTCCTTCAATCGTTCCACTGTGACCCCTCTTAATAATCTGAAGCCAGTCGCTAATTGCCCATTGAACTTCTTCTTGAAATTCTTTCTCGGTCTTCCATTTGATTATTGGTTTGCCGCCTTGGAGAAGTATTCCTTTGCTAAACCTCTCCCTCGTTATAAATAGCAATGGCTCGAAGAGTTTGATCACGTGTTTGATGACGTCTGGGGCGACCTGTCCTCCCAATAGGTACCGGATTTTTCTATTATAGTGGAACCGAAATTGTATCGTTTGATCGTCTCTGACGGCTTTAATGTTCTCTTGAAGTTTCTTAAAGTGGTCATTCTGCTCCAGGAGGGAATCGAAGGTCTGCACGAATAGATATTTGATTTGATCCTTTCGTCCGCCTTTTTTCGTTTTTACCCAAGAGGTAGCTTCGGAAAGAATAATGGGCCGTATTTCTCCCTCTTCTGGGCGTTTCATTCTCCCATCGGCTTTCGGCAATCCTTATTTTTAAGTTTAATACTTGATGATTGATATTTTTTACCTAGTGACACTGCACGTCCGAACTTATGTAGTCTACTATCGTCAGTGTGGTTGAGTTCGCGTTGTTTGAAGGATTCTGGCGGTTTCTCGGACTCACTCGGGGGCAATTCTTCAGCTGGCTCGGTGATGGAATTGAGCGGCGGAAATTTATACGGATTCAAGAGATCAGTTGTGTATTCCATGTAGTTTGGGTGATTGTTGCAAATGGCAAGTATCGTCTGCAATTCATCTTTGCTGAAGAATCTCAAGAGTTTACCAAGAAGGTGGGAGCCGCGTTCTGTTTCTGTTTTGAGTGAAAGAATATTTTTCAAGATGATTTGATTGTAATATTCTTACTCTTCCTGCAGTTTTTCGTTCGTTGACATATTTGGCAAGTTGGGCTTTGGTTTCAGCGAAAATTTTGTCTGATTCTTCTTCAATTCGATCGAATCTGCATGAAGGCCTCCACCTTTTATATTTACTCTCTCTTGAGTAAATTGTGGCAATGTACTCGACTTTGTCACGAAGCTTCAGCGTGTGGTTCATTCCTTGAACCCGCTTCTTATATTCGTCGGGATAAAGCTTATTCTTTTTCCGACCCATTGCTGAATACCGAATGCTGTCAATGGGCTACAATTGTTACTTGTAAGGCTATTATAAAGAAATAAAAACAAAGTGACGGCAAATAATCTTTGAAACAGTGCACCATTAGAAAAGTAATACATGAGAAACAAGATAAGGGTTTTCTTCGGCCGGGAGGCCTATGTCTTCATTGTTTTGTTGTTTCTGAATGAAATAGTTTTTGATGTTGCACACTGTATAATGGTCAGGCGTACCTTCTGTTATTTGTTTTTTGATGTTGATAATTTTCTCTTGCATCTGTGTGAATTTTTTCATGGCAGCATTTAAGCATTCTATCGCATCTTGTGGATTTTTTTATGGTTTTGTGTTAATTTGACCTATTTACCTGTTTCTGGTACAAAATCTAATTGTTCTTTTATCATAAAGTCTGCTATGTTTCCAAGCAAGGTTTCTTCAATCTCGTTTATTGATAGCAAATGCTTTTCTATTAATTCAATCGCTTTTTCTTTTGAAATTGACGCGTCTTCAAATTTTTTTGCTATGATTTCTCCCCATTCTGTGTTCGTAAATAGAATTTCAACTGCTTTCATTACTAGGTCACTGTCGTTATAATTTGGTACTGTCATCCTTTGTGTCTAAAATATTAGCTTGTTTTCGCGTAATAAAGGGTTTTGTTACTTAAGTACTGTTGAGATATTGTTCCGCGTTATATGTCTCGTCACTTGCTTCGTTTGTCTATTTTCTGCGTATCTGACTGTGCTGCTGACGTTGGGTGGTCTGAATATTGTAAAAGGTTGTTGAAGAAAATGGTGCGCTGATTCGCTGAAAGCTTTTTCTGCAAATTTGAGTTTGCTAAAATGCATACAGGTGGTATATGCTGGTTAAAATCAAGGTCATCTTCAAAACTTTTCTAGAAGTTCCACTTTTTTATCATTTTACTAGTTCTTATTAAAAAATTAAATTATTTATTTTTGTATTAAGTTATGGTTTATTATTCTCACTTGGCGAAATAGTACTTCATGGTTATCTTGCTAAAATCGCTCTTTACCTTTTTTTCAGCGTTTTTTGCCGCGTCTTAGTGCTTTTCTCTCTTCTTATTCGCGTTTGGATTGTGGAGTTGAAGTCGCGGGGTCTGAAAATTAAATTAGGTCTTTGAAGAAAATAGCGCGCTGATTTGCTGTCATTCTATTTCAGCAATTTTGCGCTTCAATGCAAGGAATGGTATCAGTCTTAAGCCCGGAGAGTGTTTTCTCAGCTATCGTGATACCACGCGCCTTCGGCTATGGGTTAACGATACTTACTCCCTATATGCCTTCTCCTCTTCGTTGTTTGCCGCGTCTTTTAGTGCTTTTCTCTCTTATTTTCCGCGTTGGTGTCTGTGGGGTTGATGTCGCGGGGTCTGAATAATGTAATTAGGTCGCCGAAGAAAATGGCGCGCTGATTCGCTGAAATTTTCATTTCAGCAATTTTTGCGCTTCAATGCAAGGGGTGGTATCAGTCTTAAGCCCGGAGAGTGTTTTCTCAGCTATCGTGATACCACGCGCCTTCGGCTATGGGTTTTACGATACTAACTCCCTTTATACCTTCTCTTCCGCGTTGTTTGCCGCGTCTTCTAGTGCGTTTCTCTCTTCTTATTCGCGTTTGTGACTGCGGAGTTGATGTTGCGGGGTCTGAATAATGATATTAGGTCGCTGAAAAAAATGGCGCGCTGATTCGCTGAAATTTTCATTTCAGCAATTTTTACGCTTCAATGCAAGGGGTGGTATCAGTCTTAAGCCCGGAGAGTGTTTTCTCAGCTATCGTGATACCACGCGCCTTCGGCTATGGGTTTTACGATACTAACTCCCTTTATACCTTCTCTTCCGCGTTGTTTGCCGCGTCTTCTAGTGCGTTTCTCTCTTCTTATTCGCGTTTGTGACTGTGGAGTTGATGTTGCGGGGTCTGAATAATGAAATTAGGTCGCTGAAGAAAATGGCGCGCTGATTCGCTGAAATTTTCATTTCAGCAATCGATTGTCCAAAGTATCGACAAATCGTATGAAATCCAACTTCTCAGGAAAATTGAAAAGAGAATTTTTCATTATTCTTAGAGATAAAGGAATTCTAAATTTGCTTATAAAATAATAATTTACTAAGTTCTTAAAAACAACAAATATTTCGATTCGAAAAAAGACCATTTCCTTATGGTATCTTTGCTCCTGAACAACCTAGTATGTTTGGTCTCGGCACCGCTGAAGAAAAATTCAAAATATCATCGAAGAATTACATTTCGCCAAACACAGCAATCTTGAAGCCCGAGCCATTGAAGTACAGAAGCTTCTACGCAAAAAGTTCACAGGGACTACCAATTTTTGAGACAGATATGACGTCTCTAAAGCTAGTATGGGGAGGTTTTACAAAAGATTTTCGATTACGTTTTCTGAATTTTTAAATGGAAGAATTTTAATGTAATCGCATACAGACACTTCAAATACCTAAACGAATCGAGCAGTTGAATGAAGGGCATTTGCTCTTGTTAGCCATCTAGGTTGCGATTTGCGTCGTTTTATCTGCTTGAATTCTAAACATAACTCGAATTATTTTATACTTATAATCTCTTTTATTATTCTCGGTTATTTTCCTTATTCATGAATAAGTTAAAAAATAAAAGACAAACATTAAGAGATTGTCAATAAATAACGCAAAAAAAAAATTTAATTTATCGATTTTTTCAAAATAAATTTGTAAACACGCAATTTCGAAACCTAGCTAGCAACTATTAATGGGATCACCATTGGCTCACTCAACTACACTATCACCGCTGGGCGTGAGGGCAACGATGTCTACTGTAAAATTGAAGAATCGGGGTCGGAAAGGCATTAAATCGGTAGAGGTGAGTCGGTTGATTCGAGAATCAAATTTTAATGGATTGGTGGCGGTGAGCTATTTGGGTCGTTGATCACTGGTAACAAGTAACTGGTGCAAAAAACCTACAATCTATCAACCAATCATTTTCATCATTTTCTCCGACCCCAGTTAAAGATAGTTTTTTCAATTCGATGGATCTTCATTGTGGAAAATATGAGCAATGGGTTACTCTCAGAGCTCACAGGGATGCTAAAAACAAAAAATTTCATTTTTCCACCGTCCAACATAATAAAAGGCAAGTTGTTTTTTTTCTTTCTAGCTGAAAGCGTTATTTTAACTGATATTCAGAAAGAACAAAGAAGATTCAAAAACAATACAAATTTATGAAAACCCCTCCTATATTTATGAGAGAAGAGCAAAAATGACTGTTTACAGTACTTGTAGTTATCCACCAGGAAAGGTCTCGCTGCTAAACGCGATGTTGCCGTTAAGGCGTGAACAAGCAGTAAAAATTCTGATACAGATGAAGACCTATTGAAAGAAATCCCTAACTCAAAGCTCATAGAAAGCGGAAAAATATTAGAACACCATCTTCTCGAAGACAACCTGCAGAATTATGAAACATGTTCAAAAATAAATTTATAAAAATCGTTATCGAAGACTTTTGAGTTGATAATTTGGAATGCTGTTTAGATCTAAACCGGTCAATTTTTAGGGGTCGTGTCTGAAACCAACATAAAAATTTTGACAAATTTTGAGTGGGCGGCTACTCGGCTGCTCATTGGCCGGTTTGAAAAATCAAGGTTTCCGATTGGTTGAAAATTTCCGCGAAAAATCTGTCGAAATATGATAGATATCCATATGTTTGCCCGCGGCAGCTCGTTCTTTTCTGAGCCGAATAAAAAGATGTTGTCTTCTCTCCTGGACGGTTTTGCCTTGTCACTCACTGAATTTAGTGGCCTGATAGCTTTCGGTCGGCGTGGCGCCTTTCATCACTGAGTTAACTGTGATTGATTTTTAATTTTTTTAAAGGTTGGTCATCCAGTAGATTGTCTTCCAGCAAAAGAGGTCCTCAGGTGGTCCTCCGGCATAAAGTGGCCAAAGTTCGACGAAAGTGTTGATTCTTAGCCCAGCAAGGCATTTTATTTCATTTTTTTAATTTTTGTCTTCCAGCTTATTTTCTTCCACCAGGGAGGTCCTCCGAGGGTCCTCCGGCTTAACTCGACCAATGTTGACCATAAGTGGCCATATATTGACCGAGCATAGCCACATATTGAAAATTTTAAATACTGGTCTTCCAGCGGTTGGTCTTCCACCAGGGAGGTCCTCCGACCGAACTTGACCAGAGTTGACTTTTCAACCGGCTTCGAGCCGGTCAATTTGTACTCAGAAAAGAAAATCCTTTCGATAGATATCCATATGTACTAGAAAACACGTGGTTTTGGAGAGAAACCGGCTGGTTTTGGCTTGAGAACCGGTTGGTTGAGCTCTCAACCGGTCAATATTTCGTCTAGAGAAAAAATCCGATCGAAAGATATCAATATGTAAGGGGTTTCATGAGGTTTTAGACCGAAACCCGCTAGTTCCGGTGATTTTGAGCAATTTTTGGGCATCCTGGGCACCTTCAATCGCTTCTAGCGCCAAAAATTTATATTAAGTGACTACTTTTTTTTTTGGTGCCAGAAGAAAGCCCAGACGACGAGCTTTCTTTTGAGCCTCTTATCGATATCTTATCACGACGAGATCAAGGTGAGCCGGCCAGAAACATGAAAAAGTACCGATTTCCGGTGTTAAACCTGACTATTTCCGGCAGAAAAGTCAGCGGCGGTGAAAAACTTTCAATATGAAAAATGTTCAGTTTGAGTTGCTCTATCATACTATCCAAGCCGTTTTTTGAAAATCAAGAGATTTCAGGTGGTCGATTTTTGCGTGCGGACCCTAGCTATGGGTTAACGATACTTACTCCCTTTTTATCTTCCTTCTGCGTTGTTTGCCGCGTCTTTTAGTGCGTTTCTCTCTTCTTATTCGCGTTTGTGACTGCGGAGTTGATGTCGCGGGATCTGAATAATGAAATTAGGTCGCTGAAAAAAATGGCGCGCTGATTCGCTGAAATTTTCATTTCAGCAATTTTGTGCTTTAATGTAAGGGGTGGTATCAGTCTTAAGCCCGGAGAGTGTTTTCTCAGCTATCGTGATACCACGCGCCTTCGGCTATGGGTTAACGATACTTACTCCCTTTTTATCTTCCTTCCGCGTTGTTTGCCTCGTCTTCTAGTGCGTTTCTCTCTTCTTTTCCGCGTTTGTGACTGCGGAGTTGATGTTGCGGGGTCTGAATAATGAAATTAGGTCGCTGAAGAAAATGGCGCGCTGATTCGCTGAAATTTTCATTTCAGCAATTTTGCGCTTCAATACAAGCGGTGGTATCAGTCTTAAGCCCGGAGAGTACTTTCTCAGCTATCATGATACCACGCGCCTATGGGAATGGGTTAACGATACTTACTCCCTTTTTATCTTCTTCCGCGTTGTTTGCCGCGTCTTTTGATGCTCTCGTCTGTTTTTTTTCCGCGTTTGGACTGCCTGATTCGTCTACCTTTCGAATTCTGAATTTTTTATTCGTAAGGAATTCTGTTGTTACTGGGTTTTTATACAGTGTCACTGAACTTGGTGAAGGATTTTATAAGTATTTTTTCTGGTAGTTTCAATAATTCAATCAGGCCATAAAATTCTTCAAGTTTTTTTTCCGCTTTTTCTCTTTCTCTTTCGGTTATCTCGTGAAATATTGCAGGGTTGATTTGTTTTTTGAATAAATTAATCCCAAATATATATTCCACCACTTCATGAGTAACTTCACCCTAACAAAATGTTTATTGTTTCATGAATTCCTTTACTTGAACGACTCCGGTTGCGTCGCCGACCTCGATTTTCCAGTTGATTTTCCCGTCGAATATTTCTATTTGGGATATTGTTTGCTCTACTTTTTTGCGTTAAAGAAAGTTATGGATCTTTTTTTCTATTATTAACTGAACGCGTTCCTTTTCCGACAAAACCATTGTTTACGTCCTTGTTTTGTTCACTGAGAATTTCTTCTACCGATTTACAGTGTTCTTTCATCCAATTTTGAGCCGCAGTTTCATTTTCGGATATGAAGAAGTTATCGATTGCGGGATAATATTTAACTGACTTTTTGAAGCGATTCTCATCTGTAAAAATGCCTTCGAAAGGGATTTTTTATGTTAAAAAAATAATTTATAATAAAAATCAGTGATCCCCGATATAGCGACCTCCCATCCTCGTCCGACGCAGTAGAACATTTTTCGACCGATAATTTTCACTGTCTTAATTGATTACTTTATTACAATTGTTGTGCTTGAAAAGTGGCTGAAAAGTGGGGATCAAAAAGGAAGTTATTCGCAGTAAAAGAAACATATCTTTTTTAAACAGTTGGCGAAATCACTTTAGTTGTAGGGTTATCTCGTCTCCATCTTCTGTTTTTGGCTGTTTGCCATCTACTTTTCCTTCTTTCAGTAATTGCAGAACACTGTGGAATGAACGGGCGGCACTCTTTCGTTTACCATCGGTATTCTTTTTTATATAGTTCTGTTATGTTATGAAAATAACTATTTCTCTTTAACGGGCTAAAATGGCTAAAATTTTTCAGAATTAAGGTTCGCCTTGCAAAGTTTTATTTCATAGCATTCCTGGATTGTTTGCTTATCATCGTTTTGCTTTTTTAGCCAGTCAATTATGTCTTCTTTGCTCCCGCCGATTTTGATGTCAGCCGATTTTTTTGTTATTCTATTGCTTTCTTGCTTTTCCTAGGGTCCGCGTAAGTTCTAGAACAATTGTCAAATTTGTTACATTTTGAATAAGTGCCGAGTGATTCTCTCAAATTACTGATTTCTATGGTTCGTTTTGCCATGTGATATTTTAGATCTCTTTTTTTTTGTTCATCGAATAACGCTTTTTGATTGGCTACCCGGCGCATTCTACAATGTGTATCTGTCTCGGACCCTAACTGATTCTCGAATTCTCTTAGTGGACTCCCGGAAAGAAAATTCTCTTGCCATTCATCATCATTGACGGTTTCTTTCAAGTTTTTCGTCACGGTTTCTCTTTTCGGGGATTTCTTTTTCAATTTTATACCCTCCATCATAAAGTCAGTCGTCTCGATTTTTGCGGTTGTTGAACGCGTGCATCGTTTTGTGAATAATTGAACAGGGTTTTCTTCAACTATTTTGAATTCATTCTCTTCATCGTCCATTTTCTTGCAGTAATCATCATGCTTGCCAAGGATACGCGATATGTGCTCTTCCTCAGTTATCTGCGTTTCCGTGTCTCAAATAAATTTATATTATCTTCGTCATTTTGGCAAAACAGTTAGGGAGTGCGGGGAAGAGGAGAAGGCGTGGGGGGGGGGGGTTATTGTTTATTGCGTTACCTATGATTAGCTTCCGCCTCTTTTCTTTTCGTTTCCCTTTCTGTTTATATGGTAGAATAGGAAACCCGGCATTCTCCTCGCGCTTTTTTTTGTTTCCCCTGGCCCCAATTTCGTTCGTTTTCGTAATTTTTGAAGTTTTTAAGCTTTGGAATTTCTCTCTTGGTTGTCTTTTTAGTCTTCAGGTCCAATATCTCTTCTTTCGCGTTTTCGGTCATTTTTGTGACATTTTTAGTTGACTGTTGGTTTCCGTCTTGATTTCCATCTGTTGTGGCCGTTTTCTTTTCTTTTGAGTTTTCTTCTGTTGAAAAATCATTATTATCTTCTTTTTCCGCGTATTCTATAAATTGGCCGCCTTCTTCAACTGAGTGCGATCGCTCTTGAATGGAACGCCGTGCATCTAAATCAAACTCGTCGATTTCCTCCGTCGTTATTGTTTCGCTTCTGTTACTTTCTCTGTCCGATTCATTGATTTCAGTCGTATCGCGTCGTCTCCACTTGATGACATTGGCGACAAAATCATCGTCCTTCTCATCTTCTTGTAGCAATTCTAGAATTCGTTACTAGTTGTTCACTTTTACGTTTTACCTGCAATAGCCTGTTCGTCAATCTCCTGTATTTCTTCGTCTAAATTGAAGATTATTTCTTCATCCGGCTGTTCACGTAGAGTTATTTTTGACGGATCGACCTTGTATTTATCGTCCGCGTCTTCTCGTTTCTTCATTTTCTCAAATTTTTTAATATCTTCCTCTATTTCTTTGTAGCTTTTGATGTTTATGCCGCCTTTGTTGAGTTCGAATTCCTGTTCTTGTCCTCTTGATGCCATTTTTATTTGCTCATGAAAAATTCTGCAGTCGGTTAGATGTTTTATGTTTTTTTCCGAAGAAATAACTGCGATTCCCTTGAGAAGATTGGCAGCTGGCCGAATATTTTCGTTTTTAATTATACCGATTTGGTTCTCGATTTGAACTCATTTCACTTTAGAATAAGTAGAAACTAATTAAATACCTTCATCTAATTGAGCTGCATTCATTTTCTTTATTTTTCTCGGATTTTTAGCCGCGACAAGTAAGGTTTGGTGTAAGTCTCGACTGACTTCATCTTCCTCCTGCATTTTTTTTTACTTTTTAAAAGACAATGTAATTATTGTTTTACCTGATAGCTTATTTTAACCCCCGCTCGAAAATACTAGACTTTGATTTACCCATAGACATACTGATTATTTTATCTTTAAATATCTTCGCTACGAACTTAAAGTTGTTTTCGCACATTTTTGTTGAAATTTTCAACATGAAAATATGATTCTATCTGAAAAACACGCGTTGACAAATATCAAAGGATGAGATAAGCAGTATCGCGTGATTCACTACACTGTCGGTATTGTCTGATTCATTTCAGGGCTGGGGTGAACCCCAGCCGGGCGATCATTGGTAAATTTATGCACGTGACGAATGACTGGATTTCCTGATGTGCAGCATTTATTATTATTATTTTTTGGTGGTTCTGTTATGGCTTGTCAAGTTTATTTTTTGATGAATTCATTGTGACAAACCCAAAGCGAGGATATTTCTCTTAATTTCCGCGATTAATCATGCGCTCGAATTCGCGGGCTGGGGTGAACCCCAGTCAGTTTTCTTGAAGATTATTGGCGAATTACCATCCACTTATATCTGTTTCTTTTTTCTTTTTGTTTCTAGAATAGAATTCCATGGTAAATAATGTCTCAATTTTAGGCTTTATGGATCGTTTTGAAATTAACGCGGTTGGCCTTGCTCTTATAACTCCTGAGAGAAAGATGCGAAGAGTTAAAGAGAATTTACGGAAGATTGAAGAATCGGACTTCAGGTTATTGTAATTACACAGGGACGATAATGAAACAGTATATAGATTTTACTCGGCGTCCCAAGTAGATAAATTACTAACGCGGCTAGAAGGATTACATCTGAGTGTGGATAGCATTCGACTTCAGTTAACGCGTACGATCATTACTCTGAATGGGTATTTTAATGCATAGTTTTTCATGTTTGAGAACGTTAATTACCTCATGTAAGTCATCGTCTCCATTCGATACTGGTGATGGAAAAGCACGTGTGGACGTTCTGCCCGACATGATCCGACGACTAGCGCAATGCTCCGCCATTAATGCGCGTATTTTCACTTTTGAGAATATGATCAACAAGTTTTATTTCTTTTGATTGTTTTTAATCCCAATTATCACTATTTTCTGTATTTTTTTGCGATTTCACAACATCTCCCTTCTTATCAAAGTTATTTCAAAGTCAAACTTACCTTTTTACTGTTCTCTCACTCTGCCATTTTCTTTTTTCTTCATTTTCAACTTCGTGAGACGCGAAGATTTATATTCAAAAATATCACTGTATATAATTTATTTCGACACAGACGCGGGATATTCTTTCAGATTTTTGGTGTGATCTTCCTTATCAATAACAGTAGATAATCCTCTAGTGGGTAGGTCACTTTATCTCGTCGCTACCCATAATAGGATTTGTTGCCCATCGCGCTCCTTCTGCAAAATAGTGGCAAAATAGGGCTCCGCTACCCACTACAGGATTTGGCGTGCGCTACTCACTTGAGGATTATCTACAGAACCTCATCCTAAGGAACGCTAATCACATGATTTTGGTTACTTTTTCAATCATAAGAGCGGTGAGATACTGAAAACCCTTGAAAAAGAAAAAAAAACGGTGCCGTGGGGAGTTCCCCACTCTTGTGAGTGTTGGGTTCCCGCGCCCTAGTCCGACTTTTTCTCCAATAAAGTTAGTTGAGCTTCTTTTGAACGCTGTATAGGGTTCGGTAATTTCTCACGCATCTGTTAAAAAAAAAATATATATTAAAGAAGGGTTTCCTTAGGCCGGTAGGCCTTTTAGGGAAGTTTATCTGCTCTGTCCCGCGTCAGTGTGTTATGTATTAATTTTTTTTATTTTAGACGGTACCAATGTTTTGTGATTTACTTGCTGGTGGTATTCGTTATTTTTCTTATGCCTCACGCAAGCACTTTGCTGTCAGGATCAACGATAGCAATGATGACAGGAATGATAACATAGTCTTCCTTATTTCTTTTTTATTGGTTTTGTTATCTTGATAGTGACTTCTACGACGTTCTCGTCAAGATGAATTTACTTGTTTTTAGTTATTTTTATGCGGATTCGGAATGTATTGAATCTTATCAGGCACGCTTTTGTTTATTTAAATGTTTCAATGTGGTTAGGCATCATTGATCGAATGCGATTCAAACTTTCTTCATGGAATTCTGAATGGTGTTTTTGATGCTTTATACCTAGGTCAAGCCTGTCAGCGAATGCAGTATGATAATGTTAGTTATTTTTTGGTATTCGAATAAGGTTCGGCTCTGGTCAAAATGGTTCACCAACGATTTCTCTTCCTCCTGTCCGCGGTCGTCCTTCATTTTTTAATTCTGAGTCAGGTATTTTTTTCCCTGTAGTTATTTTTCTCATTTTTAGTTGAACGTTTCCTGGCAGTGCTTTTCCAGTGCATTTCGAGTGATCCTGTTCTTCTTTTTTACTGCCAGCAGGATTTTGTTAACTTCATTAATCATACTTCCGAACTGAGGCAAGTTGATTTGTATGTAATAAGTTTATTTAGCTATTTAGTGCTGATGTTCGTGCCCGACTACGAGATCTTCATTTCCGGAATTCTACATGGCTATGGGTTTATATTATTTCGCGTTTATATCAACTTTTCGAACAAAACCCATTGTAAGGATGGTCTGTACATTGCTGAATGGATTCGCCGCGATTCTCTTCTTACTAATACTGAATCGATGAGACAGTTATTTAGGTTTATTAATAACTAGTTCCTTCTGCTTGATTGTGTTCATCTATTTTTATAAATTTGTTTAATCATATCATGTGTAGAATGCCAATTCGATATCGGTTATCCTGTGCTATTTGTATGGGTGTATTTGATTATCAATTTCATTTTCCAATGCGGTTTCGTTCTTGCTGTCATGTTCTATGTTTTCGCTGTCTTGTTGAATTAACTACCGGAAGATGTCCGCACTGCAACTATTCATTTTCTGCTAATGATATAGTATTCCTTAATGGTCTTCTCGGTTATTATACCTGGTCACAATAGATTACATATTTATGCGAATAATTTATATTTTGTTTGTTTAGTCTGAAATCACAATGTCCGGTGACGAATGCGCTGGTGAATGGAAAACTTCTCGGTCGCGTAAGGACAAAAAGAAGGACGAGAATTCTCTCGCTTCGGATGTGGTCTCGTCTTCTACTATGACTACAAAGCGGGGTCCTGATACCAACATGAAAGTGTTGCCCAAGCCGCCTAAGTCGGTCAATGAGAAGAATATCCAGCCTGTGAAGAGCCGCGTCTTGATGGAGTCCAATGTTTCGTCGCGTCACGATTCTGGAAGCGATAATAAGGATCGTCAAGTTCCGCATAAGTTGTCTGGCGGCGAAAACAAGCCCGTAGTGCGTAATCCGGATAAGGGTGAGACAATCTCGTCCGTGTTGAAACGTGCGTGTGCTGACTCCCAGTCCCCTATGCGGTTCGATCCTGATAGTCCCGATTACCACAGAAAATTTCCGCCTGTTGCTTCGTCAATTAAAGGGCCCTCTACGACTCAGCGTGCTTCTGACAATATGCGTGTTCCTCAGAAGGTTTCTAGTTCCAAGGATGCAAAGCCACTGAAGAAGAAACCCTCGCGAAGTATTGCCAAGTCTAAAAAGCCTTCTACGATCGATAGCGTTGATAATAAGCGTTGTCCTCAGATGCCTCCTCGTTCCAAGGATGGTAAGGTAACGAAGAACAAACCCCGCGAACTTGCTGATTCTGCCTCGTCTCGACCTTTGAAGACTGTTAGTGCTGGTACTACTACCGCTGCCGCGTCCTCTACCACTCGCGTTTCTGAAAAGAAAAAAACTCATGGCGCGGTTTCCTCTGTACTCATTCCGAAAAAGAAGAAAACGGTTGCGAAGAATGAACTTATCAAACTTCCTCCCAAGAAAGTTTCGAGTAATGAATTGCCGGTTTACTCGAATTTTCCTACCGTCAAAGAGAGCATGAAACGAGTTGAGATGGCTGACAAATTGCAAGAGAAGATTGATGAGGCTGAGCTCGATCGAACTACTAAGAACAAGCTTTTTAAGAAGCCGAAATCGAAAGGTTCCGGCAGTGTCGCATCTCGTGCCTTTTCCCGAGTAAAGAGCTTCGGTGAGACGGTCAGCGCTACTGTATCTGGTGCTTTCAAAAAGAAGGAACGGAAAGTGGCTGCTCTGGCTGACGATGGTGAGATTATGGATGAGATTATTTATGGACCTGATATTGCTCCTGTTGACAAAACTATGAAACGGCGTCGCAATGAATCATCTAATGCTAGTAAACGGGTTGTTCATAAGAAAGAACGATTGAAGACCCCTGCACCTTTACGTAAGAATGAGCTGAGTAGTTCCGGCCAGTCGGTGTCTAGCGGCTCGAAAAGATCCCCGCATTCTATGAAAACATCTACTAGCGGTCAACAGCCTGTTGGTAAAGTGCGCGATGGTCAGCTGAGTAGTTCCGGTCAGTCGGTATCCAGCGGCTCGAAAAGATCCCCGCATTCTACAAAAACATCTACTCGCGGTCAACCACCTGTAGCTAAAGCGCGCGATGGTCAACTGAGTAGTTCCGGTCAGTCGGTGTCAAGCGGCTCGAAAAGATCCTTGAATTCTACAAAAACATCTACTAGCGGCAAGTCATCTATTGGTAAAGTGCGCGATAGTACAACCACAACTCCTGCTCCATCAAGAAAAAAAAAACGTAACTGTATCGCTGTTCAAAGCAAGAAAGATTCTTCCGTTGGACAAAAGCCCGTTGATCGTCTACCTCCTATCATTCACCATGCGGATATCTCTGAGCTGCTTATTTCTTCTGAAAGCGAAGAAAGTGTAGCTCCTCAAAATGAAGACACTGATGATCTTCAAGGGGAAGATGATGAAGTTTTTCATCAAGATGTTCTCGATAGGCACCGTACCCAGCGTGCTGATTACTTTGAGGCGCGTCGCGCTGTTGAAACTGAGCTGGCTGAACCGTCTAAAAAAACATGCGAATTTGTTAAACTTCCCCCCGTTCCTTGCTACAATCTGAAGGCTATGAAGTGGAGGGAATTCATCGCTGGAAAATTCTCTGATATCACGATGTATTTATCTTCCCCTCCGCAGATAATCCGTTTTTATTCTGACGGGTCCAAGCTGATGAATTTTATTCTTCGCGAACATGATGGCTACAGACTTTTCGCGGTGAAACAAGTCTACTTCGATCATGACGATGATATCTATTATCTCATCTTACGGTGCAAACGCGATAAAGTTTACGATGTAACTAAGGCTTCTCGTCCATTTTCTCCTGATGGAAACTACGATCCTAAATCTACGTGGACAGAAAATGTACATTATATTTCGAAAGACCAGAAGACTATCTCCGAATGGAAATTTGTAGAATCTCAAAATCTTTTGAACGCGGACGAATCGAAGAAAAAATGCGATAAAACTTACAAATTTGCTATTCTTGATGACAGCATTGTCTATCAAAAGTCGAAGAACAATACGTCCCTGACGATTTACCAGGAGAGGACTAAAGAAATTGGTGGCTTACTTTACGCAATTCCGAGACGTCGTGTCACGAAACCCCATTGTTGCAAGTATGTGTTAATGCATTTTCCTATTTTATTTATATTTAGGCCTCTCAATGAGGATAATGATATGCGGCCGGCTGTGATGGGGGTTATGTCCGATTTAGCGAAGATGCATTACACTGTTGATGTTTACCGTGAAGTTGAAACTCTTTGTGATACTTTCAACTTTAACCCTCCCAATGGCATGCGTGATTTCGTAACGCAAATCCGGAATAAAATTCAGTATCGCAATCAGAAGAATTGGAAGACAAAATCTACCGTCTGCCCTTCGGTTCATCTAGAAGTATGGAATAATTTATTTTCTCTTTATTAATTTATTAAGCACATGAAGATATCGTTTCGGTCTTCTCCTGCGAGAGTTATGAAAGAAGTCACGGTTTTCGACGAAGAAAAGCATAAGGAGTATCTTCTGGGATGTTTTCGTCATCACGTTGCAATCTACTGGAATGAAGATTGTCAAGGTAGTTTATTTTTGTTCATATGTGAATTTCATCTATTTTCATAGTCATCAGCGCGGACGGTACATTTAAATCCGCTGGTCTTTACACGCAGTACTATCTGATTTCTCTGGATTTTTGGGTGTCTGACGAGAAGTGTGCCTCTATCTTATGTAAGCTATTCTTTGACGGTATACGTTTACGAATGTTTAGGCTGGCACGGCTATTCAAATCAACGGGATGAAATTTTCTATGAGCGTGTATTCGATAAACTCTTCACTGATGTCAAAGCTTGCGGCAAGAAAATAGGGCGGGTTAAATTAAAGATCGATATGTAAGTTTTTTATTCTTTTTACGTTACTTATATTGCACAGGGAGCTTGCGGCGAAAAATGGGTTCAAGTTAGCCGCGGCGAAGCATGGCGTATGCGTGAATTCACCGGTTTTGTCGTGTAATTATCACAGCTGGTGTAATCTACGGCGATTTGTATCTGGTCACAGCGGTCGTAAACGATTATCCAACTATCATTACAAGACGATGAATCATTTGATGGCTTGCGTAAGTTATAACTGCTGTTATTTGTTACATTTTGTGTAATTAGAAATTCGTCCACCCTGGAATCGTTATCAACTTGATTCACAAAATCGGCGAACATGCGCGTTTTTCATGGCGGAATAAACTCGCAATAACCGGCAAGAAGAAGAAGAACGATGATCAATCGTATTACTTTCCCGATGGAAAAACTAAATCGGTCGATGACTTTGTGGATGAAATTGTGGAATACTGGACTTTGATGTTCAGCGGAGAGACTCTGGAAAGGTGAACTATATCATGTGAAATAGCGTTTTAGTTTTTAGTTATTCATGGTACAACGAAGTCGAGAAGGACAAGAATTTTGTCGTCGGCTTCGATATGACCACGAATTCAAATGAGGCGAAGCACAGGTATTCGTGATTATCTTTTCCATCCTAAGTTGTATTAAGCTCAATTAATCGGATGCACATGCGGTATGTTGTGAAACGCGCGAAAACCATCACGCCGTACATCGAAAATAATTCGCGATGGTTGAAGGAACATTTTACCGAGACTTCATGCGGCAAATTTACATATCGAAATGAAACTACAGAAGAACTGAACTCGGTTAACACCATTTATTGTCTTGTTGAATGGTCGAAAAAGATTGCAATGCGGGAGGACAAGACTATCACCCCGGGAGATTTTGATCGATTTGTATCTATTCTTCGCGATCTTACCATTGTCAAAGATGTTGGCGGTTCATTGGAAGAATTTGTGGTCCCCCCTCCATCTCTTGGAAATCTCTTTAAACCTGATGCGACTATCAACCCTATTCCAATGGAAGAATTTGAATGCTTTGGCCCGGAAGACTCTGTTGATACGTCACAATTTGCAGAACTTATTGACGAAGAACTTATCAATTCTGTATCTCATTCGGTTAATGATGATGCTGAGATTGACCTTGGTCCGGGATTTCAGGAAAAACTTGCTTCTTCTATTGCGAATGATCGAATGACAGCTAACTCCGCAGCTGATGACTTCAATCCCGATGTTCCTTCTACCTCAGAGAAAATTAATGACTTATTCATTCCAGCTGTTTCCGCGGCTAAAAAGAAAACTCGCACCTCAAAGACGCAGATAACCAACTCCGCGGTAGTTTCTCACGATCACATTGATGATGTACCAGCTATTTCCGCGACAAAAAAGCTGACATGCAGTCAGAAGAGCCCAGAGACTGTTCCCGAATCTACCTGTGTGGCTTCTTCCAGTTCGTCCACTACTTTCTTATCTCCGCTGTCAAGGCAGATGAGTGAATTTTCGCTTGCCTCGCCTGATCCCTATTCGTCTCTGGTTGATGCGCCCATTATTTTGGCTCGATCCGTGGAAAATGATGATTCGCAACTATCGAAAGGTTTGTGTTTATCGCGGCTTGTATAAAATTTGTTTAGCTTGCTCATCGATTGGCGCTTCCAAAACGCTTGCTGAAGAATGTCCCACTCAAGATGAAATTTGTACTGATGAGCATGCTGCCCCAGTTTCCTCTCCTATGCGTATGGATTCGGTTCTTTCGCATCCTTTCAGCGATTCACCAATTGAAGATGTTCATCCTTTGGGCGATGATAGCGAAAGATCCTATGATTCCGATTCTGAAGGATCACTTCGTGATTTTATCGATCAAGATGAAGCTGTCGAGAGTGATAGAAGCTATAATGGTAACAGTGGTGATGAATGTGGAGAGTCAGAGTATGAGAGCGACGAATATTTTGAAGATGGTGATGAATACGACGATAGCAATCATGGCGAGGGTGATGAGTATGCAAATGACGCGGAGCTGAACGAACGCCATGAGTCTCATGATCCTATCGAGTCAAATAATCGGAATAACGAAGGTGATAGTGACGCAGAGAGAGAAGAAATGCCGGACAGCTATCGTGATTCCGAGGTATATGATTCTGATGAGTCTGACTACGAAGATTACCCCCCGCGGAAATCTGTTGCGGTGGTGGTGAGCGATTCTTCCGATGAGCAGCTGCAAGATGACGCGGGGTCCAACAAACGCCATGAGTGCAATGATTCTACCCAGGCAAACAATCTGAGCGACGAAGGTGACAATCACTCAGAGGGAGATGAAATTCTAGGCGGCTATCGTGACTCTGAGGTATATGTTTCCGGTGAGTCCGACTACGAAGACGACTCCCCGCGGAAATCTGATGCGGTGAGCGACTCATCTGATGAGCCGCTGCAATATGACGGTCAATCGTTTGCAACCGATGATGACTATGAAGAATACGTCTATGATTATAAGTCGGGAGAACAGTCCCTCTCTGATGATGAATAACTTATCCAAAAGTCTCATTATTCGCTGTCTCAACAGAATATTTGTGCATTTTTGTATTTTCTTTTATTTTTTAGTAATCGAATGATTGAATATGGAAGTCGATGGGGGTGATCGTCGTCAAGGGTCTTCGTTAAGTGGCGATGAAGTTACTCATGGCCAGGTTTGCATTCCAATGGTATAATCCAGCTTTGTCTCTTCTCTCTCTCATAAGCATATAGATGGTGACTATCAAGACACAGAGCGAAAGAAATAACCTTTTCACCCATTCCGTAAATCATGAGCTGTCTACCTCCACCATCCCAATGGTAAATTCAAAAACTCTTTATTTAAGACTGTTCCTAATGTCCTTTTAGATGGTTACAATGACTGCTGAGAATGCGATGAAGCATATACTTGATATCGATGATATCATTTCTCTCAGGGGTATACCTTCCGGAAACGAAGATGACTTGTGTAACGCTCAGTCTTTCATTCAAACAAAGAAGACTAATGCCCATTGCCCAAGTAATTCGCGGAGATTCATAGCTCAGGGCAATGCTTCCAAGGTATTCATAATTCGCCATCGTGGGTTATACACTTTTAGTCTTTACTCGAGAAAATGCCTGGCGGAGAAGATGGTATCTGCTATGTTCCTGACAATGACTTGACGGTGACTGATGTTAAAAGAAAACAAAATTTTGGAAAATCAGACGTGGTACACCTTTTCAATGCGGGCAATTTTCTCTCTCGTTTTCACGGCTCCAGTGCAACTGCACATACTGAACTCGTAAGATTTAATTATCTCACTTTTGTTAATTTTTATAAGAACATGATGAAGTTGGTTGCGATTAAATCTTATTTTTCTCACATGCATCAACGAAGCCATATCTACGTCTTTCATGATGGTCAATCTTATTATCGCGCGCGCAGGTTTAGAATCATTATTATTTTTTATTATTTAAATATTTATAGATGGAAGACATATAAATCTTCTGGATGCGACCATATGCGGGTTTTTTGCGACTACGGGATCTCAAGCGGTCTTCGATGCAAATGGCGGATTTCACTGAAGTTGAAACCTCATATCCTTCTTGACGATTATGAAAATCACAATTCCACTTTAAAAATGGTAATTTAAGTGATACATATGTTCTCTCATAATACTTAGTTTACCGATCCAAGCAGCTACACGATTATGGATGAACGAGGGTTTCACAGTTGCCCCGGTATCGCTTGGACTGAAGACGAAACGCGGACAGTTGTCGAGCGAGAGTTGCGCGAAAGAAGCAAACGCTTGGAGTTTAGGTTTTTAATTGCAAGAAAACCATCTTTCAATTTCTAATTAGCTTACAATTTGGCGAAGAGTACGCGAGAGAAGCTTCGCCGAGATACGGAACTGTCGCTGGCGATGTTCCTTCGAAATATTCCGTGTCAGAACACGGATCCAGTGGAACGCCTATTTTGATCATGATTACGGGCGGACGCAATCTCGGCGAGGGGGTTAAGTACATTTTACGAATTTTCGGCAAATTCTTCATTGCTGTTGTGTGAGTGTTTTAAATCTTAATTTTTCTGCATAAAATGAGTTCAGGTATCGTCATGATTTGAAGCAAAATGCCATCTTTCTTCAATGCGCGACCTGTCAACAGAGCAGATGCGAGTGCTTCTGGCGTGGCAAACTACTGCTTCTGAACCCAGCTCTTGACAAGTGCATCGACAAGGAATGTTACATATGATTTGAGATTGTCTTTCACTGTCATTGAATCCTGATGTAACTCAGAAAGTTCTATGATATCTCAATGTATAAAGTTGTGAGCATTCACGATTCTCCTCATCATGCGGAAGTTTGTCGACAGAATACCAATAATGCGGAAGAATTCGTTTCTACGACTTTCGAGTTTAAACCTTGACTGCCTTTTCACTTGATTTTAATTGCCGCGGCACTTAGTTAGAATAATTGATTTTCGCATTCCAGCCTATGCTTTGTACACTTCACTTTTCTTCCTTTTTTATCCCTATTATATTAAGAATGGTCTTGCCTGAGAAAGAATTTAAGCAGTTGATTTCTATCCTATCGCCATCGTTATGTTGCACACATTTACACTCTCTTATAAGTCAAATCATATTCTTGTGATGTGCATCTAAAAAAAGTTAAAAGTCAAGATGGAACAACTGCAAAAATCTCGTGTTGATGCTGTTATTGCTGAATGCCGCGAACAAGCAGAGCGCCTCTTGATCACGGACTGTTTTGACGTCGCGCACTTAAAAACAGTTGATTTACCAACAGATTCGGACTGCGCGTTCGTTCATATCGCCGCGGACAAGCTTTACATAAAATTCTTGTCGAGAAAGAATATTTATTTATTCAAGTCAAATAACCATCAACTTATTCAAGCCCTTTTTTCTCGAGTCAGATTTATATTTATCTGGGAAATTAATTCAATCAACTCAGTAGTTTTTAAATTATTTGACAATATTTTTGTCTTAAAAATCATGCTTTGGATAGTGAATAGTAATGCCTTTAATTTTGCCAAGCTGACTCTTGACACAGCGGCAAAAACTTGCGGTTTCAATGGCGGCTCCTTGCATTTGTCTTCAATTTTTATGAAACTAGAGGCGCTGTACATAACATATAACTCATCATTGAAGAATCCAGATTTTCTTAAATTGTATCAAATAGAATATAGACATACAGTATTACATCTGGATGGAGTGAATAAAGGTTACGAACTTTCGACTTTGGGCATTGATAGTCAGGTTGCTGAAATTTACTCGAAGATAAATGTTCTCAGAAAGATCATTTGCGATTTCTTCATTCCCTCTGGTCACGTTCCTGACGGTATAAAAAGGCGGCTCAGTGATCATGCTACCATAAACACGGGAAAATTTCGTCCTTTCTTCGACGAATTCGAACGCACCAAAATCGTGGCAGAGTACAACACCTTTAGGATTGTTGCTCTTAAAAAACTAAGTAAATTATCTTATTATATGTTGATGCAACCTATAAAGTAAAGTACTGAAAAAACTGAAAAATGCTAGAAGATCTGCAAAAGACGGAAAGTTGCATTGCAAACGAATTAATTTTTTGAGTTCGACTGGTCGCCTCTACATGTCCAATTATAATTTGCAGGGTCTCTCCAAGGTAATTTTTTCCCTTTTCTGAGATTAATATTATCCTAAGTGCATTCTTCTTGATGGACAAACATATGGTAAAGGGATCCTTCATTTACCATTACTTTATCTCAGACAAATAACGATCCCTTCTTCTCAGTTTACGGCAATTTATTTTTGCGGGTGAAGATCATATCTTTCTTACCATTGACTACAAACAATTCGAATATTCAATCGCTGTTGGATTATCAGGCGTAATAATACACGTGGCATAACATGGCCTTTTTAAAATAAATTAAGAGTACCTTTCTCGCGGACACATTCAACAAAGAAGATGACATTTTTGAAAAGTACTCATCACTCCTAGAAAAATTTGGCTTATTTCCTGAGGATAAACGAAAAGTGATTAAAGATTTGATCTACAAGTGGATGTACGATCAAGGTCTGTTCTCAATGGCACGCGACCTTAACATAGATACACTCCACGCAAATGCTCTACGCGAATCACTGCTGTCAAAATTTAAAGGTACCGCGTAAACAATTATTTTTTACCTAAGGAAATAGATCTCGTTGATTATAAGCGTGAAGTTATTCAAACTTTTAACCGGCATCAAATGATTTGCACAGAAGAAGGAAGAGAGATAAGAAGGCCTTTGCCTTCAATGTCTATCAATAAACATCGCAGATTCCATGGTAAGTGTCTAGTAGGTCCTTTGAGATAAACTAAACCATTTTCTTCAGCCTTTCATGCCGTGATTCAAAGCAACGCAACAGAGCAGATTAAAATCACTACATTGAAGGTCCTTGAGGTGATGAAGAGCAGTGAAATCGCGGTCGATTATGTCAAGGGTTAGCTGTTATTATCAAATAATCATAAAAATAAGATGAATAGTAAAATCAGCAGCTATAAAAAAGCGGTAAACGTGCATGATGAGATAGTATACAGAATAAAACGCGGCCAAGCAGAAAAGGCGGCCTCGATTGCGAAAAAGGAGCACGAAAAAACATTCAAACTTGTTAAACTGAAAGTCAAAGTTAGCTTGTCTGATACTTTGAATTTTAACTAAAAGATATTTAAAATATGCAAAAGTAATTTGCATAAACAAATTTCAGAATGAATGAAAGAAACATTTACCCGATTCTGATGAAGGAGTTGCGCGAGTATGCTGAGAGCATCACCGCGCGGGGAAGAGCGATTATCAAACGGAAAGACTTTTACTTGACGATCGGCGGAAAACAATTACTTGTCGGCGAAATAACCAGTTAAGTGTTAATACATCTATATTATTATAAATTATTTAAATTATTTTAACACGACAAAGATTCTTCCCGCGCATGGATCGTCTTGAAAAAGAGCTGGATGATCTGAAGAGATTTGAGGAGCTTGAGGATACTTCCGACTGGTCACCTATGCGGACTCTTCTCAACGTCATCGACTTCCTTCAAGCGAAGCAGGACTTCTACGAAATGCGCACAGAACTCATCAACCTCAAAAATGAGCATGAGTCCACCGCTACATCATAGATTCTCACCGGTTTTGTAGCAAGTTTGTAAGAAAGAAAAAACAAAAAAAAAATATCCACTGCCATTCTCAATCTCAATATTAGCTTGAGTAAACTGCAAGACCTTAGCTCTTTCACCGCCATTTGTAAAAAAAATTGTAAAAAATAACAAAAAAAATCCACTGCGATTCTCAACCTCATTATTAGCTTGAGTTAACTGCAAGACCTTAGCTCTTTCACCGCCATTTGTAGAAAATATGTAAAATAATAAAAAACAACATTTTGTATTTGTATAGGCAGATCGATTAACAATTGCTTACATTTATTAGTAGTTCGTTGCCGCAGCCCTTTCCGGCATTTTTCTGCACCCCTTTCTACACCTTCTACAAGCTATCAAGGGGTATAAACAATGATTCAGAATGGTTCGAAATATCGACGCGCTCGATGAGCGATTGCGTGGAATCTTGACATATGATAACGCGGCGAAGTTTATACAAATCTTCAATGCGAACTGGTGCAGCCTCACCTTCGACGCTCCTTTTAACCAAACGCTTGGATTTCCACCTCAGCGGGCATATAGTCTTCTTGACATTGCCATTGTAACGGATCACTTATTAGTACATATTCTGTCATGAAATACTATTAGTCAAGGCAGTATTTTCTATAAAATAATTAATGTAATCCGTAAAAGAGGCCAACGCGAAAGACATAACAATTTTCCTGGTGCAGCAAGATTCCATGAACAGCTTGGTCCTCGACGAAACTGCTTGGACAGTTCCGATGAAAATGGCTTTCATGGGCCAAAAGATCTGCCTTAAAGGTAGCGAAGATTAATTTAGTTTCGTAAAGTTCCATTACTATTCAGAGCTCCTAAAAAGTGCACAAGGTGAAAGATCGTCATTTGATTTTAACGGCGAGTCGATTTTACACCGATGCCTGAGAGAATACGCGGCTAATGTGGTCGGCCAAGGAATGATTTTTGGAAGAAAACTCGGTCCATATCTACTTGCGAAAATGATTGATATTTTCCAGGAGTTTGGATACAAGTTGAAGCAAGATGAAATGCCATCGGTCCTGTCAATGATTCATCGTAAGAAGCGAAGTTAGAACAATTTTATATTAATTCACCATAGAATTCTGGGAAAGCGACGAGCGGCTCCATCTTCTAAAATGTGTGCTAAGTGACATGAAGACGGAAATGAAGGTAGCATCTGGCGGCGACGGTTGGCCTATCAAGTCACTAATGGACAGAAAATTGGAGTCCTATCAAACGTAGTTTCCATTACTTTTAACTGATTCACAGGATGTTAAGGCTCGGATATCTCTACGAGACTCCAATGCAGGATCAGATCATGCGCTTCTTGATGGAATGCGATCAGAACGGCAGCAATGTGGCATATGTTCTCAAAATTGCCATTAAGACAGGGGACATCGACACGTTTAGGGTCTACACTCAGTCGAAGAATGCTCTTGATTGGTTGAGCTATGGAGAAACAGCGGATCTCTTTTATGATGTTATTCTCAATTTCAAAAAGTAATGTTGAGATAACATACAAAATTATATAAATAAAACTCTAGCGCGGTTAAACTTAAAAGAATCGGCTCATCGAGATGCTCTCGACAATCATGAATGCAACTGTTACCTGGAACTACAGAGGCGAGGCAGAGGGGAACATTCTTGGAGTTGCTCTCAAATACGCACCATACGCCCAATTCACCCGTATTGCGGATCGTTTTCCGCGAGAACTTCTTCCTGCACGAACACGAGACGGCCATGACTGGAGCTACCACGCGCTTACCGATGTTGCCGACTTCTCCGATGAAGAAAAATGGAAATTGAGCGGAAATTGACTTACATTCTCGAAGACGACGGTTTCGACATCTTTCAGTTCTGGCCAAAACAATCGATGCCAGCAAATATTCTGATCGATATGAAAATGCTCAATGTCTTGCGGAAAATGAAGTCAAAATATTCAGCTGTGCTAAAGAAGCTCGACATTGATAATGAGTCTGTATTGCATCACGCAGCTCTGAACAAAGATAGTGATGCACTCAACATCCTCGTGGTACTTTTTCCGGAGCTCTGCTCTGTGAAAAACAGCATGAATAAGGTAAATTTCAAAATAGACAGACATAATTCAATCGAATAAGTATCCGATCGATCTTCTGCGACCGGAAGACCAAGAACTCCTCCAAGTTCGAACAAGCAACGCTCTGATTCGCGGAAAGATGAACAGCGAACAGAAACAACGGTAATCCACTTATTTTTAAAATGTTGAAAGTTGAACTTTACCTAGCGGTACGAATGAAATTGCCGAGAGGGAACAAGTAAATGCTCCCGAAGAACAACAAAACGCGGCCGAGAGGGAACAAGATAATGCTCCCGAAGAACAACAAAACGCGGCCGAGAGGGAACAAGATAATGCTCCCGAAGAACAACAGAACGCGGCCGAGGAGGAACAAAATGCGCAGGAAAGAAGAATTATCGCCGAAGTGAGACGCGCAGAAGCCCCCGAAACGCCATACTTCGGTGATGATAAACAAATTGATTTGGATGGAAATCAAGAAGAAATCAACAACGCAGCACTCTTGAGTGCGATCACAGAAGTTGACGAAGACGAGGAAGAAAATAAGTAAACTCTCCACTCCAGACGCTAATCCTCTATACTTCCTTGTTTTATAATGGCACATTCAACAGAGTAAAAAAAAACATTTAAATCCGCCACGCCTTTCTCCTTCCCCAAGCCTCTTGTTTTCTCCCTCGCATTATATGTAAAGCGAAAGTATCCATTGTTCAAACGAAATTTGTTCTCCGTGCTCAATTAATAGACTCCAAACCAGAACCATCATATGTCAGCTTGCACGCCACGCACCTTCTCCGAGCCTCTTGTATTCTCCCCCGCATAAGTATGTGTAACGATAATCTCTTGTTCCAGCTCTCTTGTATCCCAGCTCAAAATTAATTGACACCATACCACAACCATCATATGTTAGCTTGCGCCGTCAAACTTTTATCAGGCAAACCTCTCAAAAACAGTGAATAAACGTACTTTTTAAGAAACATGCCACTCACTGATGTCGCATAGTATGAAAACAAGACGAAAGAATCAAACTCAAGTGAGTACAAATCAAGCTAATTATCTAAAATACAGAAGGGAAATTGAGGCACAGAGTTACCGTTACTTGCTCATACCATAACTCACGCCACCTTTCATGCGCCCATACTTATCATTCCTTTCAGGCAACGACCATCTCACCAAAACGACGCGTCGAAGTTAAATGAACAAGAAGAAAGAACTCCAGGGAGTACGTATCGAATAATTTTTAAATAAGACAGGGAGGTGATTACCACGGAAGTTGGGAAAATACTCCCCGGGCTTCGGAATGGTGCACCGACCTTTAAATTCAGGCACAGAGTAACCGTAACTTGCTTGCGGCACAACTCACGCCAACTTTCATGCGCCCATACTTATCATCTCTTTAAGGCAACTACCATCTCACCAAAACGACGCGTCGAATTTAAACGAAAAAGAAGAAAGCACTCCAGGGAGTACGTATCAAATGGTTTTTAAATAAGACAGGAAGGCGATTACCACGGAAGTTGGGAAAATACTCCCCGGGCTTCGGAATGGTGCACCGACCTTTAAATTCAGGCACAGAGTTACCGTTACTTGCTCATACCATAACTCACGCCACCTTTCATGCGCCCATACTTATCATTCCTTTCAGGCAACGACCATCTCACCAAACGACGCGTCGAATTTGAACGAACAAAAAAAACACTCCAGGGAGTACGTATCGAATAATTTTTAAATAAGACAGGAAGATGATTACCACGGAAGTTGGGAAAATACTCCCCGGGCTTCGGAATGGTGCACCGACCTTTAAATTCAGGCACTGAGTAACCGTAACTTGCTTGCGGCACAACTCACGCCACCTTTCATGCGCCCATACTTATCATTCCTTTCAGGCAACGACCATCTCACCAAAACGACGCGTCGAATTTGAACGAACAAAAAAAAAACACTCCAGGGAGTACGTATCAAATGGTATTTGTATAAAACAGGAAGGTGATTACCACGGAAGTTGGGAAAATACTCCCCGGGCTTCGGAATGGTGCACCGACCTTTAACTCCAGGCACAGAGTAACCGTAACTTGCTTGCGGCACAACTCACGCCATTTTATATGCGCTCAAACTAATCATTCCTTTCAGGCAACTACCATCTCACCAAAACGACGCGTCGAATTTAAACGAACAATGAGAAAGCACTCCAGGGAGTACGTATCAAATGGTTTTTAAATAAGACAGGAAGGTGATTACCACGGAAGTTGGGAAAATACTCCCAGGGCTTCGGAATGGTGCACCGACCTTTAAATTCAGGCACAGAGAAACCGTAACTTGCTTGCGGCACAACTCACGCCATTTTATATGCGCTCAAACTAATCATTCCTTTCAGGCAACTACCATCTCACCAAAACGACGCGTCGAATTTAAACGAACAAGGAGAAAGCACTCCAGGGAGTACGTATCAAATGGTTTTTAAATAAGACAGGAAGGTGATTACCACGGAAGTTGGGAAAATACTCCCAGGGCTTCGGAATGGTGCACCGACCTTTAAATTCAGGCACAGAGAAACCGTAAGTTGCTTGCGGCACAACTCACGCCATTTTACATGCGCTAAAACTAATCATTCGTTTTAGGAAACGATAAACCTACCAAACACGTCGAACATAACGAACCAAGATTTACACCTATGGAGACTAACTTTCACAAAGCATAATACTTTCAATATCATTTAGAATGAGTAAGAACCGTAACGAAAGCGATAACTTTCACACGCAACTATCGGTTAGGAGCGTTGAAAGAATTATGAAAATAGCGAGTCCACTGATGGATTTTAAAAGAGAAGCAAAAGAGTGTTTGACTAAAGGAAGGTTCTCTTTAATAAATATAAAATGATAGACAAAGTTATCAGAATCAAAACAGCCAGCTCAAACTTCCTCTACACAATCGCCAGGAATATAGCGAAAAAAATGGAGCATTCCGAGAATCAAGGTAATCATCATCATAAACAAAGGATTCTATTACCAGAAATTGACTACGCGATTGCACGAAAAGCAATTTTCGAAGAATTCAAAGACCCACTGGTCATCGCTGAACATTTCCCAAGACAGATATCGGCAAAAAAGGCGCTTAAAAAACAACAAAAGCGGAAACTAGCCATCGAAGAAGAAGAGCGACGATTTTATGAATACGACAGTGACTCGGTAAAATCAAGAATAGAATGTCAATTAAAAATATCTAGGATATGTCAACATGTGAGCCGGAGGAGTACAACGAACGGATCAAGAAAGAAGAATTGAAAGATGAGGATGTGACGAACGATATAAAGACTGAAGCACAACTTGACAAAGAAATGAAAGAAGAACCGAAAGATATAGATTTGGAGAAAGACATCAAGACTGAACCTCCATTTGAGGAATAATGAAGGTACAGAAAACTGATATCCCCTTACCGCAATATATGTTTGACAAGACATTAAGAATGAAACGCAAACACGATGAGGACAACACTGTAAATAAACCCAATATAATGAAACTGAGAAAATTCATATGACTGAACCTAAAATTATACCCACTTAGAATGAATGAAATAAACGAAAAGAATACCGACGACAAAATTGAATTATTTCTCAAAAAATATCAAGAAGAAAAAAAATACTACTAAATAAAAAAAACTGCGAACAAATTATATTCAAATGCAACAGATTGGAAGGTAATCCATAATTGAAAAACCATATTAAAATAATAGAAAACGACAAGAATTACCTTAAAAATTCGATCAAATTTGCAGCGGTCATCAATAATGTACACGACGGAAAACTGCTCGGCTTCGGTAAGGCCTCCGGCCGACAAAAACCCTCTTTCGTTTTTTTTTATTAAGGTTGGAAATACAAAAGATATCCACTTGCGCGGATAAACATCGAAGAATGGTCCATCAAACCCGGAAATCATTACGGGGATTTAATTTTCGGAAATTTTCTAGGTAATGACTGTAAAAGAACCTTACTAATAATCTCTATAAGCATTTTTCGGGGAGAACATTCAATTTATCGGTACCAAAGCGCCAACATTAGCCAGTGCAAGACTAGTCAGTATTCTCCAATCAAAAGAAAAATATCCGAATTTTCAGTTTCCCATGGAAACCCTTCCTATCCTGCAATCAAATCCACTCTAAAAAATAAAGCAATGATTTTCATTTTAGAATGACAATATTTCATCTCTGTTCGGAATATTCTTTTTTAAATCCGCATTTGTCTCTGTTAGAAATCGACTTTAAAGATATTTATCACGAAGATCATCTTTACATAGGAAAGGACTCGCATTTATTCAGTACTCGAGGATGCCTTCAATACCTTAATCGATTATGCCGAGCTCTTTTCAGAGTAAACCATTATTATTCATCGACGCGAGCTCTTACTTAATAGAAGCTCATAGTTAGACTTTTATCAAATAGAAATTTAATAAAAGATTTACTCTATTTAACGCTGGCTTCAATTATCACAATTTCAACGTTTATATAAAAGAAAAAGAAATGCTTAAATACTCGTCGGAACGACTTGAAATGATGAAGAAAATCAATGGTGAAAGTCTCATCAATTTTATTTAAAAAAAATAAATAGACGCGTGCAATCAGATGCAAACTTCAGCGGAAGAAGATAAGGCGGAATACATTCAGTCAAAACTCATCGCCGATAAAAACATTATTTGGTGTCTTTCGGTATGAAACTGTGTCATCCGCCACTGATCGCTACCCTCGCTTCAACTTAAAACAGTAAGAAAGCTCGTTTTCTTCAGCGCTCGTGCGTAAGTTGCACATTCTCAGCCAGTTATGAAGACCAAAGTCCCTTTGGCAGGGCCTTATCGGGCTGATAGCGGGAAGAACGAGGGTTAGAAAATGCGACACGGTGGCAACTAGTAGCTGACTGCACAGTTTATGACTACCAGAAAAAAAATTTCATATTTAAAGAACGACTGTCACGCACTTATGGTGGATGCTTATGTGTATTGGTTGCTACGAGGGGCAAGGGCAATGTTAGAAGAAACAACCAAAAAGGTATCTTTCAATAGCAACGATTAAAAATGTAAATTATAGAAATTGATTGCCGCGGAAATCAACCTCTTTGGATTTCGCATAGCATCTCTGAGCAAAGAAAAGAAAATTCAAATAATAAATTATCTCGACGGGAGAATAGAGGAATGTGAGATCGAGATTCAAAAGGAAGAACACATTGCGGACATTCAAAAAATTCATGGGCATCTTGGGTCTGCCTTTGCTCACATAATGCGGATAATCAAATGTCCCCGTAGATTATAAACAGTCGAGAGCAAACGCTGACCCAAGCCAGCCACATGAACAGTCTCTACGAAGTTGCTGTCAGCAATGATGAAATCCAAGAAAACAATGTTCCGGCAGGAATCGGTAAAATACAGCGGAAGGAAAAGTTTCGGGTATTTTCAAAATCACTAAACTGACCCACTCGGCCGTAAATCGGACGGCTCGACTCTTATCCTTTAATTTTAGCCAGCCACTCGTCATCCCCATTTTTACCATCAATGAGTGCGAAAAAAAAAGGAAACATTCATAATTACAGAAAAAGAACTCTCAGCGTACGCCAAAATTTTGTTTGGGCGAAAAATCATTCCACAAACAAAAACAATAGCGGATGGTTACTATTCAGAAGAATTATACACAGCTGTCGAAATGCTAGTGACTGTCATCTTTACGGATAAAAGAAACATTCAAAACGTTCAAGTGAATAATTTCTTTGACGTGGCAAACAGTTTCCCACCATGGTATGACGACGTTATTTATTACAATGAGTTTTACTTTAAGCATTCAAAAATTACTCGGCTCCATCAAAAACGATACTTCGAACACGACGAATAATATGAAGTTACATATCATCTCATTCGCGAAAAATATTGGGAAGGTATCATCGAAATAACACGTCTCAATATTTGAGAAATTTCATGATTCAAAGAAAGGGTACAACCTGAAAAACTCACAGTCCTTTACGAAAATCTTTTTAAAAAAACGACAAAAGACGAAGCTAAACGCGATCATCACCTGATAAACTGGATTTCCTCAAGAGAACACTCAACGGTAAATGATATACAATGCATTCTTATACAAATAATAGAATAGGAAGCGTATGGCTGCATCTCGAAAATAAAAGAAGACGATGAAAGACTACGATGCCCGTTTGTAGACATTACCTCGATGGATATCGAAAACGCTCACCTTTTGAACAGAGGAACCGCGGATTTCTTTTATCGAAATGGAGGGCCCCAGCGAGTTTGTGCATATTATCTTTCGAAACGTAAAGGACAAAACGAAACGCAACGCAAACTTAATAAAATAGAAGTCCGGCACCCAGTCGATTTTTATGTACACTCAACGCGTGATGATGGGAAGACAATTAAAACGGAATCCCGCCGAAAAAGTGAATTAGACGCGCTTAACCGTGAAATATTTAACTTTATAAACGAACGAAAATTCATTTAAAATACAAAAAATTAAACATCTTCTCGTTAAGAATGCCACGGTCGCCAAATGCACGTTTCTTTCTATGCGGTTCTTGTGAAATCTACCCGGACAAAGGGTCGAAAACGTGCAAAGAATGCTTTCTAATTTTTTGCAAAAGTAAGGAAAAATTATGAAAAAAAATGTCATATATAAGGATGTTCTGAAAAATTTATCGAAAATCCCGGAGAGTGTCCTTCATGCAAAAAAATCATCGCAAATAATTTCATGGAGGCACCTGGCTGGTTCGAAGCCGTCCGAGCTCAGATCAAAAAAGGTAAGACAAACAAAATTCGATGAAGATAACCTTTTTTTCTTAGACGCAATAAAATTGCGAATTGCGGAAAAAAACCAGGAGAGATTGGAGAAAGAAAGAAACGAAATGCGGTCCAGTCTTACTGATATTAAAAAAAATATCGAGGAATGTGAAGGTAATCACAAAGAAATCAAGACGCTTAATAAATAAATTTTTCAGAAAGTTTCAAGATGGCTATGGAGGATATAAAAGCGCAACTTAACGACAGAATGAAGAGTGAATAGAGAAGACTAAAGTTAACAATAGATAAATGTTCAGAATGAACGAAAATGGGGTTAATGAGTCGAATCGAAGCAATACCGCAAAAATCAATTACCGCAACGAATCGTTATCAAACGAAGAACGATACATAACTGTCAAACGAAAATTCAAGGAGATAATCGGACACAAAAACCTCAAACCTTGGCAATATGACGCGATCAGTACAATGTTGGACGGGAAGGATGTGCTTCTAGTTATGAGCACTGGTAGCGGAAAATCGGCTGTATTTCTCACCTACGCGGCACTTCAAGAAAAGGGTTACACTCTTATAGTGCTCCCTGTTAATAATATTCGTGCGGACTTAATGGCTTTTCTGGATAATGCCGGCATCAGCAATACCAAATTGAAGGACACGGACTTTCTTGAATGGGCGGCAAGGAAGGAAAAAACACGACTCCAGAACTACCGCGTCCTTTTTGCATCTCCCGAAAGTCTGAACAAAAACCATCTTGTACTGCAGATGCTTAACGCCGTAAATCCCCTAAACGCGGTTATTTTCGACGAAAGTAATAAAAACAAAAAGCAATCAAATTATAACACTGTTCTAGTCCATACGAGTGTTGAGTGGAGTTCCTTTCGAGCAGAAATGAAATTTCTCGGTTTTGCCAAAGACATCTCAAATGTACCTTTCCTTGCGTGCACAGCCACTGCGACACAACACGTAGAAAAGGGGATAAGAAAAATTCTTCGAATGAAAACGGTAGTCATTACTTATTTCTTTACACGTTAAAATGATATATAGGCAAAGCTGATCAAAGGAACAACAGACCGGAAAAATATCACGTACAGAATACTCAATAAAACCAACAAGAAAAGCGATACGAAGCATGCTTCGGCGGAAGCATTGTTCACCGATTTAAGGAGGGCCAATTTTCTCGAACTCGGCGAGGTCGTACAGTAAGTAATTCATGAAATAATTAAATTAAACGAATTAAGCGACAGACAACTGTATCGATTCAAGGAGCGAGTTCTTATTTACATCAATGTGAAGTCAGAAGGCGAATTCCTATTCGAAAACCTTGGAAGATTTTTCGATATGCGGAGGATAGGAAAATATTTCGGGTAATTCTTAGATTTTGCATCTGAAAAACCTAAATAGAACATCTAGAATCAAAAAGAACGAGGATAAAACAAAGCCGTGGGTAAACGAAGAAAAGCAAAGGCGGAAAACAGTGAAAGATTTCACCGAAGGCAAACTCGATGCAATAATTGCCACAGTGGCTTTCGGCATGGGCCACGACGACCGAACATTGCGGAAGACAGGTAAGATTATAGAGATATAGACATGAAAATACTTTTTAGTAATATGGGGAACGCCATTATCTCTCTCGGCACTTTCACAAATGAGCGGACGATGCGGACGAAACGGAGACCAAGCCTCGGCTACTATCTTTGTTGACAAAAAGCTCACCCCATTCCACCGGCAGACAGCAACCAAAGAGCCGCTTTTGGAAAATAAGATCCAAAAGTATCTGGAACTTCTTCACGCGGAATATGCTTTAAAGCGACGAGGATGTCTTCGAGAGGTCTTGCTTCACGTTTTCAACCGAGATGAGGAATCGGAGATAACCGGTCTCCCACATTGTTGCGATCATTGCTTCAGGGAAAATGAAGAATATGCACGAAACAAAGAAAGGATAATGAGGACATTTTCTGTTTCTGAGATCCAGTTAACATAATCAACTCATAAATCCCTAAAAAGACTACAAGGCAGAACTGAAGCATTACGTTAGCATTCGGAACGAAGCACTTATCGTTATGGAAGCAGTTATTGAATGCGATAGAAAATCAAATTTTACCAATGTTCTGGCACGAGCGTTGAAAAAATCTACCAACAAAACAGTAAGATGATAGGAAATGATAATTAACGATTTTGTAGAAAGCTCATTACTATGCGGTGGCGAGAGCCCTCATCCTCGGCGATTACCTTAATCTCGCCGATTATAAAGGCGAAGGATCGGTAAGGATGGTCGTATCGGATCGCGGATTTAGTTTCATGAGGAATGCATCAGAACCCTTCATTACAGGTAGAAATCATTAAAGTAGAAAAAAACCCTTAATCGTGATATTTGAAGTGCTCACAACAGATATGAAGGCAGTCCGAGTGGTTTCGAAAGGAGAACGTGATTTTCTGATTGATCCGAAATCAGAGATTAAACTGAAGGATGAACAAGAGCTCGCAGTGTTCGACGGAGTTGAAATTGCGCAAACTCAACAAAAGGAAAAACCGAAAGAAGATGTGTACGAAGAAAGTTATAGAAAGATGATGTACTCCATCATGGAAAAACTGACGCGGGAATATGCGAAATCTAAAACACCAACATTTCCCTTCAGTAGAGAACTTTTGGAGCGAGTGATACTGTGGCGACCGACAACAGAAGAATCAAGTAGCAAGAAACACATACATTAATATAACTTTTATTAAGTGTGTAAAATTCCACGAATGACGGTAGCCGCGGCGAAAATGTACCGAAGTTTTTACATATGGACGGCTAAGTATAAAGCACAATACCCGGAACTGGAAGTCAATAAAGATATGTACGAAGAAGAAGACGTTACATATGCGATGATTACCAACCCAGAGCAGACATGGGCAGAAAAAAAACGTATGACCATTTCAACGCAATGAGTATTATTAAATTAAGCGGGCAAATACTTGCGGTTGCGCAGTTGGATAATCTACAAACGATACCTGGACGGAGAAACGCTCAATCAAATTGCATTGAAGGAGCATATCTCACTAGCTAGAGTGACGGAAATCATGTCAGAATGTATTGCCTGCGGAAAACCAATCAGGCTTGAAGATGTCGGCCTCGAAACATTGACACCAGGTAATCATTTACAGTGTAAAGTTCAGAATACAAGCCAGACAAGTAATCTTTCACTTTAAGGCAAAATAGAAGAAATCGCCCGCTCATTAAAAGAAGCGAGCCATAATTATCCTCCAACGATGGCCAATTTGCGATTTATTGCCCATATAAAGAAATGGCAGTACAGCGAAGAACAATTACAAATTATTTCCGGCTTTCTACGATGCATGTTTGGAACAAGCCTGAAAGCAAGACTATAATAAATCAAAAAATCCGAATCGCGTGTTTCTAAAAAAAACAAACAACATGTTCTAGAAAAAAAATCTTTATGCGCAAAGCACAAAAAGCTTCAAAAAATTGTCGAAAAGATATATTTTAGGCATTTATTACATAGCCATATACTGTAACCGTGCCAAAAAGAAACAGACAAATACCCAGACCTTATTTATAAAAAAAAAGAAAAAAAAATAATGGTTAAAACAATAATTATAACGAAAGAAAGAGGAAATCATTTAAAAAAAAGGCTTAATACGAAGTTCGCGGAAAATTTAAAGGATAGAATTAATCATTAATGAGTACTTAATGATTTAACTATATACTAAGGCACAAGAATAATAAGACGACCGAGTAAAAATCAAAAAATAAAAATGATTTCATTGCTCGAGCACCTTAGAAATAAAAAAAAATTTCTAGAATGTGTTTTCATATTGTCGAAAAATGCGAATTTTCGTCAGTTCAATTTTCGGACACGCCGCAAGCACACGTTTGCGGAAAAAAAGGACGATGAAACTTGGTCGATCGTTTGCGGTACTTCTTCGTGGCGAGGTAAAATTAAAAAAAAAATACAGAACTAACTATTCAAGGACGCGGATCATGACGAATCATGCGAAGAGCATCAAACTCAATCCATCACTAATGATGATCATAAGAATTTCTTAAGGAAGGTTAAATGATGTTGATTGATACAACCAGCTACGGAAATTAAATTTATAGCTTTGTTATTTTAATCCAGAGGCGCGTTTCGGCAAAAAGTGCCTGCACCAGCCCAAGTACAGATAAAACAACGAGCACTTTTGTGCCGAAACGCGTCCCCTCACTTAAAATCATATTAAATTAAATTTAACTCTTATTAGCTACCCTACTGTGTCAGGAGCAGGAAATTCTCGGACTCGTGCCAATCGGTCCAAGGAGACGGAAGAAATTCTACGAACGGTTTATAGTCTCGACGAAACAGCAAGCCGACAAGAAGCTGACGAAATCCATGACCGACCGGTATACGCCGCAGCTAAAAAAACGGGAACGCCACACGTCATGTACGAAGGAACTTATAAAACCATTAATATTCTCCATCAGGTAAAAAGACACATATAAAACATAACATTGAACGAAACAAGTATTTCAACACGGTTACTTCTGAAGCGTCGGTTATCAACACGGATAATGAAGAAATCAAAAGCATCCAAGGAATTGTCAGTATAAATCGCACAAAAACAACATATTCTAGAAACTAAAACTAAAAGGCGACAATAAACAATACTAACAAAAAAAAGTGAACGAAGGTAGCCGTGTTCTTTCAGCGCTGCTCAACTCGTACACAACAGAAGGATTGGCCTTCTCAACATCGATGTACACGCGGAACCTTCTGGCAATGACTCCTTGTCAGATCCCACCAACGGAGGTCAATGACATACGAGACAAGCAATATAAAGCAATTAATAGCTTTTGCAATTACATGATGAAAATGGCCTGCGTTAAGCCAAACGAAACATCAAAGATTAACGAGATACTCCAAGAGACAGATCTCGAAAACATGTAAGTAATATTGTTTTATGCCAATACCAATCCATGCCACCTTTAAGTCCATGGATTTTAACAATTTACTAAAGACGGGGGAAAAGCTAGCTACGCGGCAACAATAAGTATCGCGGTAAACCGTGACCAGCTCAGACGACCCGATATATCTGCGGGTCATAAAACAACAAATATACAACAAAGCAGTTACCCTTAGGCTAATTAGTACAATATTCAAATCCAGAATCTATGGGCATGCGACTCAATCAAAGATCTATAAACTTTCAAATTCAACATAGATTACGGGCGACAATCCGCGGTTGCGACAAAGAAGTCATGTCCAAGAAATCAAGCGTCACTAAGAAGCTTATCAATGGATTGCGGTTGGTTCATAACTTCATGAAGACAAAACCAAGCGAACTAGATATCGCCTGTCTAGGAACTACCTTCGGAGTATTTTACGGCAAACAGAATTCACCCATGCGAGAGTGTTTGATAACACACACCACTACGGCATCAGGAATGATTATAGAATGCTTATAAATAATAACTTATAAATTATATATAAAAGGCAAACTCATAATCACAAAAAAAGATTCGGTGACGGACTTTCTGATGAAACACGGAATAACTGTCCATGGAAGAAAGTTCAACACAAGGAGCTACACCTCTTTCAGAAATTTGATTTCGAAAGTTAAAAGTGTACACGGGCCAGACTACAGCGGACAATTCGGGGCATACCTCACAATGATGCGAAAAAAAAACTCGGGACACATGAAAGCGGTAGTAGACATTGGTAGAGCGGCAGCAGTCAACACAACGAGCGAAGCCATCAATCAAGAAGAAAAACCGGAAGTGACCACGAATAAACGGAGACGAAAGGCACCACAAGTTTTTGTCGACCTTACCCAAGACGACCTCGAAGCGGATACTCCCGGAACATCTAGTTTGAGCAATACGCATCCGGCCGTCCACTTGCATCAAATGGCTCAAATCGATTTCCGGCAGAAAACTGGAACAAGGGTACCACATCTACAGTGCGCGGAGCCTCTTGATATGACAACCAAAAATAGAAAGCGGGAACGAGGTACTTTATTATTACATATATTTTAATAACAAAAAATTTCAAGTGCCATCGACAGCATCGACATCAGCTAATCCATCAAAGATGCAAAGGACATCACACACGGAAACGCGAAATGATATAACAGTAGGTAGACTCCAAGACGATGAACACGACGACCTACCCCTCGAAGCATACATTGGATTTGCAGATAATGCGGAATTTGACAGTGATGGTGAAAGTCACGTTAGTCAACATAGTAGCGCGAAAAACAACCTGATTATCGATGAGACGAATGCGTCTGACGATAGATCCCGTTACACAGTAGATACAACAACCGTCTATAATGGCAACCAAACTCAAAACATAACAATCACCAACGGAAACAACGGCAACCAAAACAACGGAAACGAAAACAACGGCAACCAAAATAACGTCAACCAACACAACGGCAACGAGGACAACGCCAACCAAGGCAACGACCAAGGCAACGACCAAGGCAACGACAAAGGCAACGACAACCAAGACAACAACCAAGGCAACGACAACCAAGGCAACGACAACCAAGACAACGACAACCAAGGCAACGACAACCAAGGCAACGACAACCAAGGCGACGAGAACCAAGGCGGAGGAAACCAAGAAAACGAAAATGCCAATATTGACTTAAACAACGCAATCCTAGACATGCAAATCGACACAAGCTCATCAAGTGCAAACAGTTCAGAAAACAACTATGTACGATATGGGTACAATGTTAACCGAAGAACAGCGAAAAAACAAGAAAGAACACGGGACAGACCAACAGACAACAGATACAGAGGTAATTAAATTACACAAATCACACTAACAAAAAAACTTAAGGATTCCAACGAGTAATCGAACCCGGACCAGCTTCAATCCTGGACATAGCGGACAGCCCAATTCTCGGTGACAACGTGCCATTCAAAAGAGGAAGAATCGGATCAAAAGTCAAAGCGTGCCAGCGGTAATAATAATAGGCCTCCGGCCGAAGAAAAGTGACTGATTTTTTTTTTTAGGTTATACGAAAAGGACACTATGGTTCCAACAGCAACAACGCTTTCTACCAAATATCTGGGCGGAGTTTTTTTCGATATCGGAGAAATAATTGACACGACGGAAAAGCACACGATCAATGGCATCAGAGGTCCATTAGTGGAAGACGTCGAAGCAGCGATCCGTGAGTACTACTCAAAAATAAGAAAACTCGCAGGCGGACTCCGAAACAAGCTGAAAAATAATAAGCCAACGTTCGAAGAATATCTTCAAGAACTCCAAACTTATCTCCGAGAAAACCCGAGAGAAGCAGATGCGCTCAGACAGCCATTAACTGTTGAAGGCGTCGCACCTACACTTTGGGAAAGAAACGCAACACATCAAGCGCCAAGCACGGAAATCGAGCGTAATCAAATGGACTCGGCAGTGATACTTTCCAATATCAACAACGGCGAAATTAATGATCAAACTCACTTTCAAAACGCGACAAATGTAAGTAGTACCCGAAAAAAATACTTCTAAATAATATTTCCTAGCTCGTGAAATATATGTATTTCTTAAATACACATACAAAATATGACGCGGAAGTTGCACAATTTTTATGGAATCGCTTCGTACCACTCCTCTACTGCGAAGCAAACGCGATGCTTGGACGAGCTTCTTATCAAAATACTCACTGCATGTCTCCGAAGTGCGTAACAAGCGGCAAATGTCACTTCGCGAATAATTGTATCAGTTTCGGCATACTTGGAAGGTAAAATAACCAAAAATAGCAAAGATTAAATGATTTTAGAATCGGATCTTTCAAAGCAATTGCCGAGCGGTTGTACAGAAACGTTCTCCATGGAAATCATCGATATGCGTTCGAACACGCGTCGACAAGATGCTGGCGAAGACAAGGAAAGCGTTTTTCAATAATAAATCGTATTCTGTTTAAGTAATAACATTTTTGAATTAGCTTGTATAAACGCTTAAAAAGATCATAATAGATTAGAAAGATTGGGCATCGGAATGCTGGACAATCGATCGACTTTTTGGAAACATACCTCATCATTCAGAAAACATCATCAGGCGGAAACAATACAATCAGCACTTCATCCCCTTTTCCCGACTGTGGGTAAATACACGCGCGTGTGGTGGTCACCTCTCGTCAAATATGCGGACAAGAATTCAGAAGAATTCAAAAGATACGCGGATGAAGTAGGAGTGTGCATGGCCCTTCTAGAAAAATTCAACATCAAGGCATCCTACATACCAGCGTCCGGTGATATAAGCATCGACATCTTGTCGGTCTCTGTCGAAGACGCTACGGAAAGGCTCCAAATCCTTAATTAATGTAGTAAAAAAACGATTGATAAAGCCTATGTAAAGCATTTTTACCACTATACGATGATACTCGCGGCAATGGACCCAATGTATCAACGAGGTGGATATGATTACGCAAGCCTCCCTCTCGTCGATGATGTGGCGCAACCACTTCCAGCGGAATTAACCCCAACAGAAGAAGCACTTCTTCTCAATAACATCACAGAAGAACAATCGGCTGCGGTCTATCAAAAATTTCATGATTGGATGCGGGATGGTAACCCCACGATCGGAAGATTTCAAGCAGGAAATCCAACGATGTCAAGAGCACACGACTTAAGGTGAACAATAAATCAATTAATTGCCGCGTAACTTAATGCAATAACACATTAGGACTAAAACTAACTAAAAAATATTTCAGAACAAAACTCTTGGAAAAAAACATCAAATGCTTCCATGAAGAAACGCTCGGCAAAAAAGACTTCTACAGGCAGATTAAGGCGCTGGTTGTCGATCTCCACAAAAACAACTCGGATATAAAAGAATACATCTCGGATATTTTCCCCGAGGACCTTATTACAAGATCGGTTAAAGGTAATATATATGAAGGAAAAAAAGTGTGACCCTCGTTAGGCCGAGACTCAATTTTTCCGGATATTTCAGATTCTCCAGAAACTTCATTTTAGGTTGTAAAATACCTTATTGCACGCGGACCGACTGCAAAGAAAATCAAGACGTGCGGGAAGAACTCTTTAAAATCGTCGAAGATTACGCGGAAAGCGATCGAAACCCAAACCCCGGCGACCGATTTCTGGAAGAAGGACGCGGCACATTCGAAACAGCAGAAATGCACAAATACGAAAAAGGTTAGATTGATTTAATCGAAAAATTATAATGCCCAATTCAGAGATTATGAAGATCGAGAATTGTGACTACCTCCACAATACCCCAAACAAGTTCTCAACATATCTGAGTTATCGGGGATGGGAAGCACACGACGCGGAATGCATATTGCGAACTTTTGCGGTGCGAGTCTTCGGGATGTTTCGTCACGCCACGGACCCAGTTGCATCGAAACATAAGGTTCCCGAGGTGCCGTTGTTTCGGACATACCGGCTGAAAGGAGCAAACAACAAAGAATTCACTGTTTCCCTTTCAGTTGATTTTCCTACACGCTGTCACAAACATTACCTTCTGCTTGACGAATAATTCGATTAACTGACCAACCCTTTATCTTTCAAATGCGGCAATTATCACACTGTACACTTTAATACACGCGGCAATATATTTATTGAATACGTATTTGTGAAACAGTTAAAAAATTGTCTATTGCTTCTCAAACTTACGTCTCTTCTGACCGTCGTAGTCCTTTTCATTGGGTTTCTTATAGACTGAAATCTAAGGAAATTGCCCTCTGCTACTAGTTGTCGGCATATTTCGCTTCTACAAATTGCCGAGCTGGTCGAACTATTAACCCTCACGCTCATCGCGATCAGTGCGGCAACTGGTAGCGGCAACTGGTAGCGGATGGCACAATAGTCGGAAAATTTACGCCTAAGATAATTTCAACCCGCCTGTCGTTGATCGTTACGCCTTTTACTTCTTTTGTCATCAAGCTTTATAGAAGCCTTGGCTGCCCAGAGTGGAAGCTTAGATAGTGAAAAAAAGTAAAGCCTGTCACTCAAAAAACATATTTTATTCACCAATCCTTAGTTTGTTGAGCACAGCCATTCATAGCCAATTTAAAACATCTCAGGCCGCCATCAGCTGATAACAAAACCACATTAGATGACTTCGCTTGAGGAGAGTCAATAAGTGACATCAATTGAAAGGATATTTTGTGCTTTTCCAGTAATGCAGCAATATCCTTAGTATTTGCAGCCATAAGGTCGTTCAAGTGAGAACGAGTAGATTCGAACTAAAAATAGTTATTAACCATTGAACATCATCAAGATAACCAGATGGCAAATTTTCTCGTTCGAAGACAATAAAGTGTCAATTGTCGACCGATAATCGTTATTAGCAATTAGTTCTTGAGGAATTTTATCGCGCGAAACTAGCTCCACTCCAAGTTCACGGTTCATATCATCGAGGTCGCGTAAAGCCCTCTGCACCAACGAGTCCACGGACAATGCAGAAATTTTCTTTTCGTTAAACAATTTCGCACTGCCTCCAAACGCGTCCGACGTTACCCAAAGTTTGATTTTAATCGGGTTCATATTCTTAATTATTAATTTATTAGAGTGAGATTTAACGGGTTGATATGAAAGAATATAATTAACACCTTGAGGACGAGGCCGCGTTCAAGTATAACTTCAAATCTCCACTTAGTTGCGGGTGGGCCACCGGAAAAACGATCCATTTCTGTAACCAACTCTTCAGTTACTTTTGCCAATATTATCTCGCTGACGAAAGAATGGTTAATTCTACGTTCCTATAAAAAAAATATTCAGAATGGCAAATTACGACGACGATGAGGTGATCTACGGTAAATTAATGTCAATGTAAGTCTCACCGGATCATATTCTTCCGCAAGATATTCGTTGCAAACAATCAGATTAGAAACAATCGAAATAATTCGGTTAATATAATCTTGGACGACAGCAGATTTCTTGCACTCATCAGCAATAAAGTCAACACGTAGGATAGAGTCGATAAATTTCTTTGGATTGCACCCAGTCATTATAGCCTTCTTAGAGTAATCATTGTCGCTAAGAGTGCCAACATCAGACTTCTTCACTTATTATAATTGAATTACAATCATTAACAAAAAATACCTCCAGAAGTAGAAGGAGTAGTCACACCGGACGCGGCACTCATTCAATCTAAACATTATTTCAGAAGAAAAAGCTCAATTGTCGAATAAAAGCATGAACAACAATTTAAAAAGTTGCTTTCTCTAATTTAAAAAAGAGAATTTTGCTTTTCGAACAAACCCAATAAACAAGTGCGATTATTCAAACACCCAGCGGGCAAATCACGAATAGTATTCCGTATATCCATAACCCCGCGGAAAATAACAGTGGAACTGCAATCCACAAACAATTGGTAGACGCGGAAAATAGGAATGATTTGACGCGGAATTGCCAAAATGCTTATAGATTCCCGGTTTCATTTCATCAATTCAATTACAACGATTTCAAACAAAAGGTGGACGACATATACCAACACTCCATTTTTACGAAGGACCATGATCGTCTTTTGAATTCATTGAACATCGAATACAAAGAACACGACGATATTTACCGTAACCCCTACCACACGACACTAGACAACACGAAAGCGGACATCGAAATATGCCAGAAGATGAAAATTGGAGAACACTCGCCAGCAAAAGTCTTCGAAGAAGGTGGCACAATCGAAGTTGAAATTCGAATAAAAGTAAACTCTACAAATTAATAACTGTTACAAATCATACTAGCCATACCGCAAACCAGAACGCGGAGAGGATACACGATCAAAAGACCTAGTCGAAGTTGTTCTGCCACCAAAACCTACGCTGTCAGAGCTATGGCAATCATGTGAAGAAGGACTAGAAAAACACCTCGAGATGTACGGATGGGAGGAATTGAACAAATACGAAGAAGGTTATAAGGCAAACAAGCAGGAGAGGGCGTCGGCATATTCTAACATGGCAGACAAATTTGTACTGCTATTTCTCTTCCATCGTATGCCAATTCTGACCGTATACAATTGGTGGTTCACACTCACTGACGAAAAACTATGTACGATCAACGATGTTCACTCGGAACGTGGAATCGACAGTCACAGGCTGCACAAACCAACAATTTGCAGCCTTTTCTATGTAATGTCAATAACAAAGGTAGTAAATTGATGAAAAAAAAGATTTACTTTATCATAGAACGAAATCGCGGAAAATGGAAAAAATTGCTACATGAGCGTTGGAGCGCTGGATGCGAATCGGGAGACAACAAAGACGACAAATTCTTTTTTCTGGCACGTCGTATGCAGCATGGACCTGGATGACCACTTCGAACTCACTGACACAGTAACAGTGAATGGCCGAAATTACTCACGGGCTGGAAGTATACTGCAAAAATCGTCATAATAATAATTATAATTAAGAGTGGATAAAAACAAAGGACGGAATGGTTCTTGGACCAAAAAAACGACAAGCGCTGATTGCCAGGATTCTCTTCTTATGTTGCTTCCGGTACTCAAGATTAATAGGAAACGCAATGGAATACGCAATGTTCATGACCTACGATTGTCTGATGACGATTCAACAGTATGGACTCCAGAACCTGCTACGAGTAGGCTTTTTCTCCTACCAATTCTATCAGGTAGAAAAACAAAAATTTAACCTAGCTAAAAAAAAATAGATAGCCTTACCATCAGCAAAATTCATGGACGTCGACATTGACATCGAAACATGCAGAAAACCCCTATTCAGACTCCCAGCAGTAAGCTGGGATCGCAAAGGTATTAATTATAACAATTACAGTGGGTTGCACAGGAATTTGCCCCCTAAAGAGCGGTTGAAGGATCAACCAATCCTACAATCACTTTGAGCAAGTCTAGAAAAAAATAAGGAAAAAGCGCGGGCAAAGGGGCAACCAAGCTGCAATCGCAAAAGGGCAACAAACTGCGCAACCCACAGTATTTAATCAACTTCCAGTCTCATACCCACAAGTCCTAAAAGGATTTTGTGAAATATTCATCGGACGAATAATTCTCGCAAAAAACAGTAAAATGAACACACTACGACACGTCACAACATATCTCCTGCCACCACTTTATCCACAAAACGAAGTAATCATTATCATCAAATCAAAAGCTAAAAAAAATTAAGCGCAAACGAGACTTTGAAAATATCCTTGAATACTCACAATACCTGGCACGAAAAGTCCCAATCAACGTTGTTCGACAAACAGAAGAGTAAACGGCCTGCCGGCCGAAGAAAACCCACTTCTGCTCCCTCTTTTTTTCTTTATGCGCTTATTACGTGTCTCATTTTCATCAAGAACATCAGTTATCTTTCCCTTCATCAATTTCTCTGCTTTAGTAAATCATCAAACAATCTAGCTCGGCAACAAAAATCCGCGTCTAACCCTTCATCATTTTCTCTGCTTTAGTAAATCATCAAACAATCTAGCTCGGCAACAAAAATCCGCGTCTAACCCTTCATCATTTTCTTTGCGTATGTAAATCAAAACTAACAATCTAGCTCGGCAACAAAAATCCGCGTCATTTTATACGGTCTGTCATTCCATTTTCACGCAACACATTGTACATCATTTATCAGGCTTACCTGACATCGTTTTGCCTAAACAGACTGTAATGAAAAAAACTTGATTGAGTCTGAACACAAAAACTTAAGAATGAACGAGAATAGGCCTTTCGGACATATAATGGCACTCAAAATGAATCATAGAACAGGTGACGATCACCGAAAATACCTTTTCATGCACGAAGCGCTAACAGACGGAAGACATCACAAAACCACTCAACGACTTGGACAGATTTCGGATCCAAGATAAGATTTCCATTATTGAAATTAATTGTAAGGGAATAATTTTTGTTGATCTTAATGAAGCATTGGTGATATTTTTGCTCATGCTCTGATTGCAACGCCACTTTTACAGTTATGGTAAGAATGCGCACACTATATAAGGTTTACAAGTCATTTCATTTTATTTGCATTAACAAACCTGAAAAAGGATAAATGGGATGACAAAATGATTGATATGCTTATGGCGTACCCAGAAAAGCGTCTGAAAACAATTTTTTAATAAACAGACATTTATATCTTAAAAAGATGCTGACCAGGAAGACGTAATTACTCGAATGGACACAGAGCGTCATTATTGGGAGGAAAGAAAGGATGAACTCGCGAATGAAATAGATAAAAAAATAATAATTCTGCGGTCGATCTGGATATTTCTTAATGAACTCAATGAATAGAATCTCGTATTCTGAACCTTAAAAATTTAGAATGGACAATAGAAAGTTCGGCGGCTACTGTGTCAAGTGTAAGAATGACAACATGGATAACTTATTGCTTTCGACGTGCTGTGTAGAAATCCACTGCCGAACATGTTTACAAACAAGACAGTGGCAATCATAAGCGCATTGTTTGCACTTAAATTCAATGACGACCACTTATTAAAGCGAAACGAATTGCAGTAGCTGTAAAAATGACGCGGTCGTGAAAATTCCATTGCTAAAAATAGGAATTGTTAAGGTCAAATTATTATCATTCACTCCCATAATTATAGTTCAGAACATCAAAATAATACTCGATCGGATCTGCACCCACAACAAAGCTGAAGGACTCATCATTGAGACGATGTACAGAAACGCGGACCTTGAAAGAGACAACTACGCGCTTATATGGTCACTTTATGAAGCTCAAAAGGAAAACGCAGCTAGTAAAAACTCCACCGAACCAAAGGTAAATGAGATAAAGAGAAGACAAATTAAAATTAATACCAGCAGATCAAAGGCACTGAAATGCAAAAATCCGATCTTAAAGACGCGGAAGAGAAGATAGAAAAGCTACTAAAAGAGGCCGAAGAAGCATCGAAAGAAATCGAGAAACGGAAATTAGCGGAAAAGGAGATTAACAGCAAAGCAAGTAGTCTTCAGCGACGAATCGACGCTTTGAAAAGGTATATTCACGAGACATAAACACAAGTTAGTTCAAAAATAGTGAAGGCGAACAAGTTGCCGTCGAAAACGGGCGATTGCGGGAACTGTTGCAAGAAGAGAAAACGGAAAACCAATTTCTGAAACGAGAAATTGAAACCTTGAAGAAGCAAGACAACTAGACATTAAAAATTATATGCGATAAATATATTGATTCATAGAATGGAAGGAGTATGGATCGACGTAAAGAGAGCCATAGCAAATTGGAAAAAAAATCAAGGACGTCATTCAACCACGTGGAACGCAAATAACAAAAGACGATGGGGGTACTTTATCAGAGTAAAAAATAGTAAAGAAATCGCGGTAAAATATGCTAAAAGAGCATTGTACAGTATGGAACATTTATTATTGACCATATAATCAGTAATTTTTAGTAAATTTTGCGGGCAATGACAACATTATCCTGTGCGAGCTTCTAGATACTATAACGCCTCCAACAACCAGATTTAAGGTAGGAAAAGTAAAACAGGCGCTTAATTTTGTATCAGCAATTATCGAGTTCAACAGCGATCAAAAGCGCGATACACGAATTCCGGGATGTTTTCAAAAAATACTGTTTTCACGAATATTATGCCGCGGAAAAGCCAAAACCATCGCCATTTTTGGCAAACTTACCATACATAGTGAAACGAAACATATGGGAAATCATAGATGTCAAACATGACGTGAATGCAAAAATTTACATGAGGTAAAATTCAAGAAAGAAATTTTACCTAATTGAAGTCTTCTGCTACAAAACAAAAGCGACGACAAATACTCAATGCTGATTAAAGACCACACCTTCAACTTCGGAAATTGCAACCTTCCTTGTGCAAAATGGCCTATGAATGCGGTTTTATCAACGTAAGTGAACGCAAAATGAGAAAAGAAACAAGATTAGGGCGGCAAAATGTGAAAGATATCGAGAGTCTTCTGGATTTCGGATTACTGATTCCATAAAAGCTGCATTAACGGAGAAAAGCGACAAGGTATCAAAATGGCACTGGGAAACTGCAAAAAGAGCAATCAACGAAGAACTCACGCTTTACCTACAGGTGTTGCTATAAAGCCATAATTTATTTTTAAATAATTCAGGGGCATTATGATAACCCGAGCAGAAGATCCGGGATAGAATATCATCTTAAAAATTGCGCAAGGTGCTCATTCAAAGTAAACAACAGCTCTTTGAAACTTAGTCTTTGTCGTCACTACGTAAAAGGTAATTTTTCGTTAATAATAAGTGAGGGAATTCTTCAGAACTACTCCACGGCATAGCTTATGATTTATGCGGCAAGCTAGATGCTTCAACAAAAGCAGAAGGCCTTACTCACCTCGAAAAGGCCGCCACTATGACAAAAATGAGGGAGATTATAACATGGAATGGTGCAATCGCATTGGTGACATGTGAAAAGGTCAATCCAGCAACGAATCGCTTTCTTAAGTAATTGAGAGTTTTTGTAAAATATCTTTTAATTTAAGTTTTTTTAGTTTCGCGATTAATTGGAACGAGTCAGAGTTAGTCTCAATTCTACTAAATGAGATTAATGACTGGAAACAAATTGTCGAGTTAACTTTAGCAAATCAATAAAATTTTAACTGTTCATCAAAAAAAAGTTACCTTTGTATTTACAGAAACTGAAACCACTCACGCCTGAAAAATAAACCAATCGAATCACTCAAACCAAAAACTAAAACCACAAACATTCACAAGCACTTTAAGATAATGAGCAATCCATTTCCGCATGGCTGTCGAATACGAAAATAGTAAAACTCCGCGACTATCTAGATAAAATTCACAAATTATCTGAAGATAACAAAACTAATCATCAATTATCAGCTTAAATCAGTAATGTCTATTTCGACCAACAACAAAAAATAAACGCGGAGCAACGATAACAAAGATACGATTATTAAACTCAACAGCACGCTTTATCAAGCCGCGTCCCAAGTGGGACCTCTTGTCCGCATAAAGATCTGTTCTATACCAAATGCTATCGTAAATATTCGACAGCCTTGCCCTAACGGATAGAAACCGCTGCCCAAGCTGTGACGGACAATACGACAATATCTTCAAGCAAGAGGTTATCAACTTGAAATGTTATCATATAAGCTGCTTGACCTGTGCTATGCGCAGCTCATTGAAACCAATCGAAGGCATCAGGGTTTAATTTGACAAAAAGTATAAATGATAATTTAACGAAGCTTGATAACCTTTTGAAACCCAGCAAGGCACCACACCTTACATTTTCTGCCCTTGGCCAAGATGCAACAAACAAACAACATTCGATGCAAATGGCGCAGCGATCATCTCACGAAGCACAGCAGATGAACACTTTCCACGACAAAGCACTCAAAATGTCCCTGCAGGTGTACCCGGTCTGCTCTCGGTTCGACTCTCTTCTAGACGCAACACCGTTCGAAAACCAAATAACAAAGCGGTGATCGAAAATGTTGAAGGTAAAAACTACATGCAAAACTAAATTAATATAGATAATTAGACGGAGAAAACGAATCAAACTGCGACATGAACATTGAACCGCCAAGAAAGAATTCTCGTATTTACGAAGACTGAAAAATAGTCAATCACTGCGTACGCTACAATCATGGATACATTAAAAACAATACCTGACGCGTAAAAATTGACAAACTCTATGTTACCTCGAGAATATTAAGAATGGAAGAGGAAGAACGCGGAGAAAAACTGTATGTCAGAAGAGCATTTGTTTTGGGCGAGCAAAATAATACAACAGAAATATGCATCAATACATTGTTGAATGAAAGAAAAGAGAAGAAAGTCGACGGTACAAAAATTGCACCAGAATCGAAGGTAAAAAAATATGGTCACACACAATGACGCGCATATTCAAGGAAAATATGTACAAATGCGGGTGCTGCGGATTGAATTTCCAAAAAATAGATGCTTTGAAAAAACATATTAACGACTCTCACAAAATAGAAACCGAAAAAAACGAACATCAAACCAAAGCGTCAATAGAATGGGTAACCAATCTTAAGCCAAAAAATACTTATAAATAAAATAGGATGGCAAGAAGGTATACTTTGAAAAACGTATTGACACAAACCGATGGCATTGCCTTCACGTTAACTGCGTTAACAATAAAAAAAAGCTCTCTGCAGTCGCAGATCACGCAAAAATGCATTTAACCTGGAAGCCGTACGGGTGCGGATACCCCGATTGCGGACATAAGACGAACGCGAAAAAAGATATACTGGAACACATCGACAACAAGCACAAAACAGAAAGGTAAATAAAAAACTTGCTTTCTAAAATTATCACAAAGTAGAAAATTCAAATGCAAGGCTGAAGGCTGTACGAAGGAAACAAATAGAAAGGCAGACCTTAGACGGCATTTTGTAGCCGTGCACACTGTTCCATTGGTTGCAGAATCATACTCTTCAGAAAAAGAAAATTTACCACCTTTAAAGGTAATCAACGAATTTAATGAAATATAATATACGTTTCAGAATGACGCATGAAAGACGCCGTAAAAAGAAACTGCATAACTGAAAAGCCATTCAATATGCATCATGAATAATCGGATCTCAAAGCTCTGCCTGATATATAATTTTTTTAGAATGGCATCCCACATGCGTTCTTAATAGCATTAAAGGGGAATTAAGGGTTAGGATGATCAAAAGTAACACTTCGCCTCAGATCGCTTCGTTCAGAGTGTCAGCTTGTCCAACGCGGTTCCCAACACTTAGGTGAGTCGTGAAAACCCTTGAAAAAATCATAGAAGAATATCTTTCGGGAAAACTACTAACTCACGCCACCTTATATGCGGCCATACTTATCATTCATTTCAGGCTACCAGCAACTCACAGGAGAGACACGTCAAATATAAACGAGCCAAAGATAGCACTTCAGGGAGTACGTATCAAATGATTTTTATATAACACAGGGAGGTGATTACCACGGAAGTTGGGAGAATACTCCCCGGGCTTCGGAATGGTGCACCGACCTAAAAAATCAGGCACAGAGTAACCGTATCTTGCTCGCGGCACAACTCACGCCACCTTTCTACGCCCATACTAATCATCTATTTCAGGCTACGAACAATTCACAAAAAAGACGCGTCGAATTTAAACGAACAATAAGATAGCACTTCGGGGAGTACGTATCCAATGATTTTATATAACACAGGGAGGTGATTACCACGGAAGTTGGGAGAAAACTCCCCGGGCTTCGGAATGGTGCACCGACCTTAAAAATCAGGCACAGAGTAACCGTAAATTGCTCGCGGCACAACTCACGCCACCTTTCATGCGCCCATACTTATCATTCATTTCAGGCTACGAAAAAACTCACAAAAAAGACGCGTCGAATTTATACGAATCGACAAATAGCACTTCAGGGAGTACGTATCAAATGATTATTATATAACACAAGGAGGTGATTACCACGGAAGTTGGGAGAATACTCCCCGGGCTTCGGAATGGTGCACCGACCTTAAAAATCAGGCACAGAGTAACCGTAAATTGCTCGCGGCATAACTCACGCCACCTTTCATGCGCCCATACTTATCATTCATTTCAGGCTACGAACAACTCACAGAAGAGACGCGTCGAATTTATATGAATCGAAAAATAGCACTTCAGGGAGTACGTATCAATGATTTTTATATAACACAGGGAGGTGATTACCACGGAAGTTGGGAGAATACTCCCCGGGCTTCGGAATGGTGCACCGACCTTAAAAATCAGGCACAGAGTGACCGTAACTTGCTCACGGCACAACTCACGCCACCTTACATACGCCCATACTTATCATTCACTTCAGACTACGACTTCCTGCATTATATGGACACCTGTTTGAAACAAATAAGAAATTAGCCGCGTTAATACACAGCTGTGAAAATTACATCGATAAGGTAAAAACTTGTTGCCAAGTAGATAAACTTTATTGTGGCATTTTTAACCAAATTGAAGATGATTAGGAATAAGCGGCACCAAATTCGTCCATATAAGCATCAAAGTCATCGTAATAATCTTCCTGCGCGGGCCTACGAGCTTTGACTTCAGGTTCGATCGAATCAGATCTATTCGGGGCCTTCTTTGCTTCGGCCAACTTAATCTGCTCGTGCCAATGTTTATAGTAATTAAAGTGAAAAGTACATGGTCCATTGCCATCCTCCCAGGGCCCAAGAAATCCCTCATTTATCATAGAGAACTCGAATTCACGACAACAAGGTGACTGACGCGGAGTACTTAAAGAAGATGCTAAAATAAAATAAAAACATGAAAGATAAATAAAGTTCAAACCCTGTGTGTTGGCATTAGACGCACTCTTCATATCCGCACAATCGTTTGGGCTTTCAGAACTTAACTGACCTAAAAAAATTAATATACTTTATTTTTTTCAGAAAACACGTCAATTACCGTCAACTCCTGAAGAACAAAGAGAAACAGCAGTGGGCAAACCAGCATTAACGCCTAAACTACTCATCAATATATTTTGAAAGAAGTTACCATTATCAGAAAATCCATTTGCCTTCATACCAAGATACACGCCGCGCGATTCATCGGAAAGAAGCTCCGCGATGTTAGAAGGATCGGATGTTTTGACACGACGAATAAATTTCATGTTCTCAACTGATATCTCTTCGTTCAATTCGTCTATTAGAATATCGACATCTTCATCCGAAAAGAAAAAAAAAGGCATTCTAAAGTGCATGATTTAGAATGAATAAAAGCATACCCGAAACAATATTTCATGTTACCATCGCTACCTTAAAAAGCGAAGGAATGGTTAACGCGGAAGGACAGCACGTGATTGCAGGACGTCCGGTGAAAATAGGCATTGCGGTTTTTTGCGGAACAGTCTTGTCCGTCAAGGTAATAAGAAATTAATAAACTGAGTTTAAACAAATTTAGGAAGAAACTCGAAATGAAATACCGGTGCGGTTAATCACTCTAGACGACAGTACCGGGATTTATAACTTCGTCGACGTTAACCGGCTAGTAAAAGTAGAAATCGGCCACAAAGTCAAAGTTTTTGGAAAAATCCGACTTAATAAAAACGGTAATCAAGAATTTAGCACCAGAAAAAAATATATCATAGGCAAAACAATCGTGATTGTGAACGTCATCCGAAAAATTGATAATCAATTTCCCTCGGTGATGAGTTGCTTCATGTTGGAAGCGATAAATACGGTCATGTTTGAAGAAAAAATAGTGAAGGAGGAGCCAAAAAAGGTGATAACTTTAAAAAATATATATAAAGATAATTTAGTCACCGCCTAAAATATTCACGAGCAATGAATTCTCCCAGCGTACGAGCGGAGTTCTATCTGTTGTTATCAAGTAATTCCCATTCAAAAAATAAATCAATAAATCATTTAACTTAAGCAACGAAAATGAACAAGGGGCAAATGTCTTCCATGATTTCAAAGCCCTTGATTTGGACGAAATGGACCTTCGAATAATCCTCAGCGAATTATCGAATAATGGTATCCAAAAATTTAACTCCAAAAAAGTAATTATTAAGGACATATCTACAGCACCATAGATGACGATCACTTCAAATCAACGTGAGCGAAGACGATTCTCTTAATAAAAAATTTAAAAGCGGCAATTTAACAAACGAACAACAATAATAGTCGGTTAACTACATTTTGTGCTATGATTATGGTTTTTGAAAATTGCCAAAGTTGAAATTTAGAATGGATTATGAATTGAAAGAAATAGTAAGAAGAATAAGAAAGAAAACGCTAACGAACGCACGTCTGAGAATTGAGATATGGAAAGTAAAGTGCAAAAGAGTAACAATGATGCTTATACGGGTCAAGGATATCAAATCATATGCCACACCGTTAGCAAATCCAGCTTAATATAAAATCACACGCTTATCTGGATATCCGTTATAAAGTTCCGCGACGCGAAAAAAAAAGAAAACATCGATGAAGACGCCTTTAGTCGACAAATGAAAAATCTCATTGACGAGTATGAAGGTCAACGGATTCAATCACATGAAACGTAGATTAAATATTATAAAGAATCCAATTACAGAAATGAATGAAGCGAAGATGGAAGCGATCAAAGCCCAACAAGACGCAAAAGGCTGGAACAGCATCGTAAAAAAATACTGTTAAAACGTATATAATTTTAATTGCCACGAAACATATTCACTGCCGCACTGAATAAAGGAAACACAAACAAAATATTAGATTCAGTAAAATGGAGCGCGTCGTGCGTGCGCAAGAAGGATACAATAATGGAAAGATAACGAATGATGTGAACGAACTAGAAGGACTTATCGAAAAGATAAAGAACAAGTATGAATGCCAATCGGACGCGGTCAAAAAAGAAGGAATGAAAAACATACTCGGTAATTATGTTTTTATAAAACAAAATCAAACACTTAGACCGGTTAACGATCGGCCTTAAAAGAGAAAAATCACAAATAAGGCACAATGGACGCTTCATGGATACTTACATCCAAGGAATGGCAAGGAACACAGACCGGTAAGTCAACACAGGAGAGACCATTTAGGCAAAAATCGTCGGTTGGCCGTCCGAGTGCCCGGCCGGAATCAAGATCAAGAGTCGCGCCGTCCGGAAGCCCGGCTGAGCCGAGCCAAGCAAAGTTGCCAAAACACCTGGTCGGGCCAATGGCCAGATTGCCCGAAATAACCGAAAATGCCCAAAATGACCGGTCGGGCAGGTAACGAAATGTATCAAACGCCCAACTGGGCAATAATTCTTGATTTTTAAGTAAAAAAATCGGACTAATGATTGGATTTCAATAAATAGGAGCTAGAAAATATGTTTCGGAGGGCTTTTGAGAGGCAAATAACGCCCATCACGCGAAAAACCAAATTGCCAAAATGCCAAAAATGCCCGCTATTGCCCAGCCAAATTTTAAGGACTGAGCCGTCTGAATGCCCGACCAAACGCTTTATGCCCGAAAATAGACCATTTTGCTCGAAACCCCGATGTCAAAAGTCACCCCTGGTCAAAGTTACAAAAAAATTCACAAAAAATTTAGTGAAGTAAAACAAATGGTACATGAAAGCGGTCATCCTGTCAACGAAGTCATCGTTTCTTGGGAAAAAGTAAACAAAATGAAGAAAGAAGCTCAAGAATTTCTTAATTCAAATTCTGAATAAAAAGACACGGTTATTTTTATTAAAACACTGAATCAAGTGTGGGGCAATTCTAAAACTTTCCGACTTCAGATGGGTGCGTGTGTTTCAAAGAAAATAGAATCGGAGGTATCGTCAAAGTGGGCATCACAAGACCTAACACCAGATGATTTCACTGCTTCACAATGGGATATTTATGAGCCTGTTCAAACCCACCCACTAAGACGCGGCTAACCATGGATTCAACTAATATTTTTAGATTAAATCTCCAAGAATGGCATCACCCAAGGAAATCTTGCATGAGGGGCTCCCATCAATGGATACTCTAGCGAGATGGCATCAGCATGCTGACAATACAATATTGCAACTTAACCATTTTGGGTACCATAGAAGAAAGAACTATTCCACTATTAAATTTAGAATCGGAACAGACAGTGATCTTGAGATGGTTGTTCAACGAGACATATTGGACATATTCGACAACCTTCAGAGGACATTGCGTGAGGCATATTCAGGATGGATGATATATATCGAGGTAATAAAACCATGTATATTAAATAGCTATAAGCTAATTTCAGTTAGCAAGCAATGGTATGAGCCAAGAAGAATTGGAATCCGCATTAAACGAGCGTAAAGATCAAGTGATGGAAATCAACAAATTCAAAACGAAATTGGAAGAAGTTGAAAATCGCCTCCATCATTACACAAGAATCACACCGCGTACTAACTGATAAAGGTAAACATTAGTAAGTAACCCATGTAAATGCAAAATTACAGAACGACGAACGATGCTGAATGAAAGACTGAAACATTAATGTCAATAAATGCCGCGGAAATATAGAACTGGATAAACAAAATGCAATTTTCGCATAAGCAGATAGCAATAGGCAGCAGATGCAATCACATGGCCTCCCGGCCTATGAAAACCCACGTTTAGCTAGCTGCAGCAGATTATTGCGATAGATCACAAATGACAATTATTTTAATAATTCAGATGAATAGACTTTTGATAGCGTCGGCCACGAATAATTCCCGACCCATGTCAGTGGGTTCGGAACAAAAGGTAAAAAGCACGATTGACAAACCTACTTACCATAATAAGTTGCAAAAAGACCCCGCACAAACCGCAAGCATGACAAAGCTCACAATCAACGAAAATCTCCCGGTAAATGTCACAGAATATGATGTCAATGAAAAAAAAATCAAATGTGTCGCGGAAAAGTACTACACACCAACATTTCACGATATGCATCTCTGTCCAGAAATGCAAATCAATATACGACAACTGTTGTACACAAAGCCATCACCAATACAACAGTACGCAATCAAAATATTAAGCGAGAGAAAAGATTTGATGGCCACCGCACAAACGGGATCAGGAAAAACCGCAGCAATGATGATTCCAATCATCAATTATTTAAAGTCAACCAACGATGAAAAACAAAAAAAAAGACCGAGCGGAAAAATAGACTGCATCATCGTATCACCAACAAAAGAACTTGCTTCCCGATTATATACAGATTGCTTCAAGTTTTGTGGAGAAAACACCGGAATCGTTCCAATTATCGCGTGCGGTGGAGAAGAGTATGATATAATATCAATTAATAGTAAATTATAAAAATCTGCATTAAGTATTCAAGAAACAGCGCGACAAATCTATGAAGGATGCAACATCGTGATCGGCACCCCGGGTCAAATAAAAACTTTACTATCAAGAATGATAATCCCAGCAGAAAGATGTCAATTTCTTATACTGGATGATGCAAACTTTATGATTAATGACGGGTTAGACAGATGTCTTGACGAAATCAACTGGTATCTACGGAAGAATAGTCATTCCAGAACAACAGCAATTTTCTCCTCAACATTCGACATTCAATTGCAGAAGCGAGCAAGAAGATTCCTACACGAACAATATATCTTTTTGTCGATTGGTGAAAAAAAGAATCAAAATCTACGAATCAGGGCTGGCAAAAATGTCTCACTGGCTTCAAAGATAATTTTTCGAGTAACCAATTAAAAAAGACAATGCTGCGACACTCTTAAGTCGAATATCTGTACGAAAGAATACAACCCAGTCTTATTGCAAAAGGCGGAAACTAAGTGAGTAAGTAAGTGAATCATCCAAATGTCAGCCCTGATCTGAATAGTAGAAACCTTTGAACATGTAGAGCAGCAATATAAACTCTATCGAACAATTCAACTTTGTGATCAAAACAGAGGCAACCAGATCCTCATCCAAACAAACACAAGATATAATGCGGACTTAGTCGAGACGATACTTGTCACTCACGGATTCAATGCCACGGCAATACACGGAGGACAAAATCACCGACATCGAGAAAGAAAACTTCGAGACATTCACGTAAGAAACTAATGGATTTAAAATAGGGTCGGCTCTTTTCAAGTGATGACCGCGGACAACTCTCATATTTTGTGGAGAAGAAAAGTGGTTACCATCTTGAGTTCGGTTGCCAATTTACGAATCGAATACGGAAGAGGGATGATTCTGCCTTTGACTATGACCGCAGCGGATTCGTTTTCAGCCGGTTTTTCTCGGACAGAATCATTAAGGTCGTCGATTGGCAGATTGTCGGTGAAATCATCAGAAAGCATTTCAATGTCCGCAAGCGAGAATGGAATAAGATAAGGGTTTGACGGCACAAAATGTGACAGGTTAACAAATCCCACCTAAGGAACATATCCACAAAATATGAGAGTTGTCCGCGGTCATCACGCAGAAAGGGATATACAATCAGTTTCTTAATAATATTAATAGACAAAACGAAAAAACATCATCATTGCAACGAACGGAATCAGCCGAGGTCTTGAAATCAAGGAAGAAAAAATTGTCAACTTTGACTTTCCGAAAAAATTTATGCACTACACCCAGCAGTAACTAGAATTTCCTCAAGCATAATGAAAATATTGAATAGGATAGAACGACTGGCAAACAAGACAAAAAATTGTGAGATAATCAGCTTTATAACATCGGAAGATCAAAAACACGCGGCCAATTTAATCAAGAAATGCAAAGAGGATGAAAATGAGATTCCCGCGTTTTTAAAACGAATGGAAAGAAATTACCGCCTTGATTAGTAAATTTATTAACTTCAAAACGATTCTGAATCCTTTTATTTTTATATGATAAACATTATTTACTCATTTATTGTCGCGAGAACTTTAACATATAAACGAACATAATTCAGATCACTTATGAGCGAAAATAACACTGATTTGAATATATGCAACGTGTGCAAAACAAAGTTTGACAATGAATTTCGACGCGAAGTTTTTAATCTCAATTGCAAGCACATTTGCTGCTTAACCTGTATAATAGGCCAGGTTCTTTAATCAATTACAAACATTTACAATGGCAGTATAGAACCATAGTAAGGTCACCAACAAGGAGGTTACAACCCAAAAAATACAAAGCCGCCATTATTTCGCTGTCCAGAACCGAATTGCCTACAGCTGACAAAATTCCATAAAACAGATATCACTTTTATCACACGAATTCATACTCAACACTCGGCACCAAGCATTACAACAGGGGAGAACGACATCATTCCAACAGAAAACTCAGGTAACACAATATATGACAACCAAAACACAACGCGTAATAAACAACAACCACCAACAATATTTTAAGACTCGCCGGTGCAAGCAGAGACGATAGACAGCTCAAACAATGAAATACAAGGTAAAAAAAATAAAATTCAAAACAAAACTAGTAAATCTGACATTGTCCGCAGGATATTTTCTCTTCACAAATCGCTTTGAAGAAGCAAGACGAAGAAGAGCGGCACGAATAAAGGCGTTATACGATAACTAAAATAACCAAATACAACGTTCCAATCAAAGAGCCAAAATAATTTACGCGAGCCAATCAGACCACAGCAATCAAATCAACTTACTTTAGGTAAACTAAATAGACAAAAAAAAAAAATGAACACTAAATTAAGAAACGTCGAGCAACACGGAATATTCATGACTACAAAAACAGTAATATCACTGTAATAATGACGCGGCAATAAAACAAAGAGGCAATTATTCATAAAACCGCATTCCAAGAGAAACACAAACTAATAAACAAACAAACAAAATGAAGTAGATCTAAAACAGCAGCCAATGGCCTGCCGGCCTAAGAAAACCCATTTTTTCCTTTTTTTCCACTTCTTGGATTTTCCAACAGAGACATTTAAAACCTAGAATTTTTTCACTTGTATTTTCCAAGGTACACTTTCAGGTCCTTGAATTTCTCTAATGAACTCCCGAAATTCACAATTTCAAATTTTCTTTTTTCCCTCGTCCACCCTTAAAAGTTCCTTTTTTTCCTCGTCCAAGCTTAACAGTTCCTTTTTTTACTCGTCCAAGCTTAAAAGTTCCTTTTTTTTCCTTGTCCACTCTTAACAGTTCCTTTTTTTCCTCGTCCAAGCTTAACAGTTCCTTTTTTTCCTCGTCCAAGCTTAAAAGTTCCTTTTTTTCCTCGTCCACCCTTAACAGTTCCTTTTTTTCCTCGTCCAAGGGTAAGAAGTTCCAAAAATTGTATTACGCCTGTATTCCTTGGAGAGATCACGCGGAGTAACAACTTTTCTGACGACGACTTGTCATCGAAACTATAAGATATGCGTTAGAACAGCAACAATGGACTTCTGTGGACATTTGTTGAAGCAGTGCTATGAAACTCAAGAGTTTACCCTTCCCGAATCGGTTTCTATGATCGAGCACGCAAAAACTGCGGGTCTTAATTTCACAAGAGAAGAAAATGAAGTCAATCTTCTCCGCTGCCAGAAGAAACAGTTTTACGATCAAAACGTCTGCCGTCATCTTTGCTCGAAAACGCTCGTCTTGGAATCAACAAGGACTTATCCGGTGTCTCCATGTGAATCAATGTGTTTCGAACTGACAAGATCAGCTAAGGGAGCCGGAGAAGTCTGTCCATTTCAGAAACACTGTTTGAACGGGTGTCCTTGCCAATTTTACAAGTGTGAGAAATTTGAATCGCGCCAGAAACTTGTTCCTGTTTTCAATCTGCATAAAAATTCCACAGGCTTCTCAGTTTCCGATGAAGTAGCTGGCTCGATTTTTACTGACAATACATGGCATAGTGGTGTTCGATTTGTTACCGGATCCCATCATGATCCTAAACATTTACACGGTCGATTGGCGAATCGAGACAGAATTCAAAAAGAAACATTTCCGATTATTTTTTCGGATTTTGGTGATATCTCGAAACGAATAGATATTTCTAATTCTTTTTTCCCTTATGAACGGTTTTCTGAGTTTTTAATTTTTTTATTAAAAAATTGCAATAAGAAATGAAAAGAATATCAATGAAATCGTTAAAGTCTACCGGGTCCAATTTTCTCAATGGCGAGCATTATTTGGTCGATGCCCTCGGAAACTTGCAAAGATTGACAGAAACTGGAGCCATTTCGATCTTTATTCCGAATCGACTGAATACAATGTAAGTCTTTACAACTGAATATCAACTGTGTGAAGCTCAAGTTGAAGAGGTTTTTTCGTCTTCCACTTCGGATCATCAATCGGAACTCATCACATCGAAATCCGTCGAGAAGAGAAAGGAACAAAAGTTTTTCCAGTCGTCGTCATCTGAAAATGGTCGAAAATATGATCAATTTTAAAATAGACGAAATGTCATTTTTAACCATAAAAAGCCGTCCAACTGCAAAAATTGACAAATGCTACTACTATGCTCCTGATTACAATTTAAGGCGTTTTGAGGAAGGGTTCAAAGAAGAAGTGAAATCATTAGCAGTCACTTATCTGTTATCTTATGTATTCAAAACTCTTGTAAAGTTAGCGCAGGGTTTCATACCTAGCAACCATTTTAACGCGAAAGTGTCTTCAGTCAGCTTCAAAGGAGTATTCTACTTGATGAGCGTCAAGCTGGGCGATCATTACATTAAACTATCGACCACAATGGCCCTGAACAGAATCCGAAAGGACGAAGAATTTGAGAAAGGTTGGAAAAAGAACGAGATTCAAATTCCCATAGAACTAAGCGAGTTGAACCCAGTCCATGTGATTTCTTTGAAAAGGGTTGAAATCTTATAATTACTTAAAATAATTTCATTCTTTATTTGGACCCCTTTAAGATTGACATGAGCAAACTTCTTTTAATAATCGTGACAAGAAGTATCGATCTCTCAAACACACTTTATTCTTTGCATTTGGAGGCAGAAGGAAAATTTCTTACTCTTGGGCGCGAGTGGATCGGCTCACTTATTGAATACGAAGAAAAATCAGAATGTTATTCGACAATGTTTGCAGCAGATGATCCTTACTATACTGATCAGAAAGGTTTGAACAATGACGAATGCGAATATTTTGGGCATGGATTTATTCATGACGAGAAAATACTTATTCAAAACAGTGTTTTTGACATCATATTCGAAATCAAATATGATAAAGGAGAGGGTTTTAAAAAATTGACTATTCAAAGCTTTTAAAAAGGTACTTTTGAAACCCTCCGAAAAGAAAATATCGAGACTGAATTTGTCCAACAACCATGGAAAAAGAAAATGCATGTTACAAGCAATCCTAAGTTTTCTTTTCACGACGACGTTTTTCCGAAGTTCTCAAAGAATCTTTACGAACAGGGGCAATTTCCGGCGCCAGGCATGAACCTGTTCACGGGAGTAAAATTTTACAAAATGATCATTCCTGATTCTTGGTTTTACTCCCTTGGCAAAATAAAACATATTTCGACAATTAAGATGAACTTGAATGGGACTAAACGCTTTGGATTCAAAATCAATATCCCAGAAGAATACCGAAATTTAAAAATAGCCAAATTTCTCGAGGGAAACTTTTTTAATGGAATGAATCTCTTTTCCTTCGGAATTTTTCGAAATGGCTCTCTATGGATGGATTCTGATTATTTTGTTAACCCTTTTATATTGAAGTCAAATGCTGAAAAACTTGAAAAAATAGTTGTTAATTTCAATATGGTCGACGCGATTGAATCATCCTTTCTTGACATTCTTGAGACACAGTTACACAACATGATTCATATTTATAACGAATTTCAATCGTAACTTATGAAAGTTTTCCGATGAGGACAAAAATTTTACCTCGA